ACCTCAGGAGCATCCAGCCTCAGCTTTGCTGGACTACATCATGTTTCTTTCTGACAATAGACAAAGGAAGACACTGCCACAAGTGTTAGTTGTCAGCCTGGCTCAGTTGGTAGCACTCTCTCCTCTGAGGCCAAAGATTGTGGATTCAAACTTCACGTTCGGAATTTGAACTCAAATTCTAGGCTGACAATCTAATATAGCGCTCGGGGAAGCACTGCGATGGTGGAGGTGAGGCGTTAAACCAAGATCCCGTCCCCATGGCAACAATTCGAAAAAAGAAGGGAGTTTCGCCAACAATTGTCCCCCCCAAAAACATTGGTCACTCACTTCATGACTGTTCAAGGGAATTGCTGTGCGAAAATTAGCTGTTGCATTCACCTAGACCCAGTCACTGCACTTCACATCAAAATCCCACCAATGACATGATAACGTGCATTACAATAATAATAATCCTTGCATTTGATATAGCTCTTGGGTTCTTACTTACTGTTAAGTAAACAGTGCTGCATTGGAGTGTCAGCTTAGCCTGAGGTTAGTAAACCCAGTTGACCTTTATGTTTGGCCATTAACCAAAATAACACTGTTCATCTGTCCCTGCTCAGCTCAGAAAAAAGTTCACAAATTCCACTGTGTAACATTACTCTTCACTACTCACAGCATATGTTACACAAATTTGGTGTATGTTGCACACATATTCATATAAGACCTATGTGCAAACATTCCTCCTTTATGGATCTGGTGTCCTGGGGATGCAGCGGACAGGTTTCCTCTAATCCATTTGCAGTCCCGGATCAAGCAGTGAGCTGGATTTGTGGCTGCAGGGAAGGAGGATTTTTGGCCTACACTGACCTGTCACTGAACACTCTGGAGATGGATTTGGCTTCACAGACCCTCAAATGAGGACCTGAATTAAGTAGCTGGTGCTGAGTAAGGCACTGGCAAAGAGGAAGGTCTTGAGATGGGCCTTGAAGGAGGCAAGAGAGGTGAAGAGGACTGTAGAATGGAATTCCAAAGAGTAGACTGAAGGCCCGACTGTCGATGGTGGGGCAGGCAGGGCGGGGGACATGGAGCAGGTACTGTACTACAATGCAGATCCTGTGACACTATTTGAAAAGAGAAGAAAGTTTCTCATGATGAGTTACATTCAGTTGTGGTGACTGCTGTTTCTTAGCCAAAGGCATCACACTGATCAGCACCAGTGATGTCCCACAGACAACATTGCGATGAATGACCTTTGGAGAATTTTGATGGAGGAGGGGAGAGGGGAATTGGCCAGGACACCAGGAGAATTCCCTGCCCTAAATAGTATATAAATAGTGCAGAGGGATCTTTAACATCACCAGAGCAGAGCTTTTTGAATAGTGCAATAACATCCACCTGAATAGGCAGTCAGGAGCTCGGTTTAATATCTCATTCAAAGATCGCACCTCCGACAATACAACGCACCTTCTCCTTCCCCTTTCCCTCACCTAATCCCTTCACCCCCCCTCCCCCAACCACCACCACCGTAGTCTGTAGTGCACATCCCATGACCTATTCAAAGAGAGATGTAGATTCCTCTCCCGATGTCCTTACCAACATTTCCACCAGATGAAATGTGGGTAATTGACAGTTTGGTTCAGTTGGTAGCACTCTCATCTGTGAATCAGAAGGTCATGAGTTCAAGCCCCATGGAGGGACCTTGTCTAGGTTGACACTCCAGTGCAGTGCTGGGATTAGGGGTACCTTGAGCTGTGCAACAGGGAGAATTTAGCAAGCACTGAGTGATGGGTGATCGGATGAGTTGCAGCTTGTGGATGGTAGAGCCAGGGAGACCAGCAAGGAAAATATTGGTGAAGTCTAAGCACAATGTGATGAAGGTGTGAACGAGCATTTTAGCAGCATTGGGTAAGGGCCAGGACAGAGGCGGGCAATGTGATGGAGGTTAAAGGTGAGGGACCAGATGTGAAGAAGAATGAAAAACACTCCAGTGGTGCTCTGAGGTGTCAGTCTAGACTAGGAACTCAGGTACTAATGTGGAGCTTGAACTATGAGTGCTAAGCCAAGATTGCACACAGTATAGGAGATATAGAGATTAACTCCACATTGTACCACTGTTAAACCAGCTAACTCAGGGCAGTGACTTAATCCAAGAAACTCTAGTTTCTAACTCCCTCTACATCACCTCCTCCCCCACCGCCCACCCTTCAAGCCCTTTCTTTTCAACCATGTCTTTTGGTCACTTTTCTTCCCCTCCTTCCTCGACTCCTTCCACCCCCAGCTCGGTCTCCCAAGTGGTACTATGAAGCACTTTGAGACATCCTCCTGACTTGAAAGGCACTGCATAGATATAAATTATTGTTGTGGAACGTAAACAATCTTTTTTTTTGTGTGAGCTGGGTGTCTGACAACGCAAGGAAACCCATCACTGATGGTGGAGCGGAGGGGTGAGGGACAAGCAGGAGGCCAGAGACAGCTAAGCGGAGAGTAAGCGGGTCAGAAAGATAGGGAGGTGCCAGCACGTGAAGAGATTTGTAGCTGAGCGTGAGGATATTGAAGTCGATACTCCCTATCACAAAATGTGACATGAAGCAGGCAGGGCAAAGGGACTGGGTGGAGAAGTAGGACCAAGAGAAGTAATGGCAATAAGAGATGGGGCAAGAGCATGGTGATACTCAAAGATGTCCAATTTATGGCTCAATCTGCATTACCATTGAGAAGGGTGTTAGGTGAATTCGCTCCAGCACACCAGGGCACCAATCGATGTGTTAAATGTAACAAGGTGACTGAATTGAGCAGTATGTGTGAATTAGTACATAGTTGTTAACTAACACATCACCATATCGCAAAATTGACTCCAGACACGGGCCAGTGAACTAGACGTAAAATTTTCCAAAATGTAACGAATAAAAAAAGGTTTTCGAAAAAATTAAAGATTGAGTCTACATTTACACATCTGGATTGCCAAGGCTCATTGACAAGCCGATCAATATCAACAATGCTTTTGATTGAATGCGAACCAGCCACTACCAGAAAGACTCCAGCAATAATACCTTGCATTTGTGTCGCTCTTTCACTCACCTTTCAACCCCTTCAAAAAAGATACTTTTTAAAACAAAAACAAATTGTATTTATACAATGCCCTTCACATAAGGTGGCAAATCAGAATGTATCACAATAATGGAATTGGACCCTGAGCAAGGGAGAGGGGAAGGTCACCATAAGTTCAGTCAAAGAGGTTTTGTTTAGGCAGGATTTAAAGACAGAGAGGGGCAAGTCAGGTAGAGGTAATAATAATAATCCTTGCATTTGATATAGCACCCATCACGTTGATGAGACGTCCGGAAGCTCTTCACAGAGTATATTGTAAAGTGGATTGTCTGAATTGTGTGGGTGAAATGCGGTGGCAAATTGCACACAGCAGTATCCCAAAAACAGTCCTAGATTGAGTGACCAAATTGTTTTGGGGGGGTTTGGAGATATTATTACCCCCAGAAAGTGATCCGCCAATTGACTAACAACTGTTCCTACTTAGTGCTGGGTAAACAGAGGCATGTGGAGTAAGGAAACTTGCCTAAGGTTTTGCTCCACCCAGGAATGGAATCTGGGTCCTCTTGCTTGCGAGGTGAGTGCACTAACCACTACACTACAAGGACTCCTTGGGTGGAGAATTCCACAGGTTAGGGGCATATTAGCAAAAGGCTCGGCCACCGATGGTAATGCAGATTGAGCTACAACATCCACAATAACAAAAGCAGCAACCTCATGTTAGCATCATTTAACCCCATTAAGCAAATGGCTGATTGGACTCAATGATATTCAAACTGAGAAACTCTGGCCCCAAGTCCAGTGCACCACCAGCTGATGATAAAATTTCTGTGTATTATCATCTTCATTCAACTCATACAATGAATGTGATATCCACTTGCACTTAGCCATAAGAGCACAAAACCAAGTCTTAATGTCTCAAAAGGTTATGCAGAATTGTTTTGGCAAACCCTTAAATTCAGTCTTCATTTGGAAGTTGTCAGTTTATAAGAACTGTGAGAAAAACAAAGGCATCCAAATTAATTAAACAAACAAATTTAAGAATATTACACAATTTCGATAACTTCAGGTCTCAGCTGAATCAGCAGTTGTTCTTGTCTCTTGAGTCAGAAGATTGTGGGTTTAAGCCCCACATCGAGACTTTAATTTATATACTCTAGGCTGACATTATATACTTTAATTTATATACTCTAGGCTGAGCAGAGGATTCCACCATCGGCGGCTGTGCCTTCAGCCACTACACCCCAAAACTTTGGAGCTCCCTCCCTCGACCCCTTCACGCCCCTCCTTCCCCATCTTCAGGTCGCACCTGAAGACCTTCCTTTTCGACCACTCCTACCGTCACCTTCCCCCTTCCCCTGGCTTGGCCTTGGGCTCTACTATTGTTAAGCGCTCTGAGATGCCGCCCGGCGTGGATGGTGCTATATAAGTGCAAGTTGTTGTTGCTGAGGTATTATTCTTTGGATGAGATGCTAAACCGAGTTAAGGATACCGTGGTGCTATTCGATAAAGAGAGGAGAGTTTCTCCCTGTGTCCTGGCTGACAACTCCACAGATAAAAGTAATCATTCACTTCATGGCTGTTTGTGGAACATGGCTGCACACAAAATTGGCTTCCGCATTCACCAACAAAATATGCAATGACTACACTTCACATTAAAATCCTATAAGCGCTTTGAGACATCCTCCCAACGTGAAAGGTGCCAGGGTGAAACCTTAGGCAAGTTTCCTTACTCCACACGCCTCTGTTTACCTAGCAGTAAGTATGAATCCGGTTGTTAGTCGATTAGTGGATCACTTTCCAGCAATATCCCTTCAAAAAATTTTTTTTAAATAATAATAATTTGGTCACTCAATCCAGTGTCCAACTTCACAGTAAAATCCTTTAAGTGTTTTGAGACGTCCTGCCGACGTGAAAGGTGCCATGCCAAATACAAGAATTATTATTAGTAATGGAGCAGAGAGCAGACTCACTTATCAAATACCACAGCAGCGTATGACGGTTCAGCAAAGATCACATCCCCAATGTACAGGTCTTTTGTCGCCTTGAGTGCTCTTCCCTTGCCTTCAGCATTGAAGACTTCTACTTTCTCCATGCTGCCGCCAGTCATTGAGGGAACAGTTGAGAGCACAGCCACCGATGCTATGACCTTGGGGGAACTAATCTCTGTTTGTGCCATCAGTTATCTTGGCACTTTGGGATGCCTGAAAACCAACTCTATATATGGTCTGCCTCATCCAGACTCCTCCACATTAAAAGGGGGGTGGGGAACAGAAGAACGACACATCTGGCATCGACAATTGAATGCTAAGAATCTTATTTCACTGAAAATCGATAAGAAAATTCATGGCTAAATCTATTTCAATGTAAAATGGCAACTCAACGCTTTCTCTTTCCCTTTTGCAGTATTCTCCACTTTTGCTTCCTCCCCTTTAGGAAAGTGGACCAGCTCCACTGTGTATATTTTTGGACACCAGTTGCCCTGGTCTGTCAAAGCAAAACAGTTGGACAGCGGCACCCAACCTGCCCATGGACTGATTGGCTGGATTGTTAGACATTTACCACACAATGTAAGAGTGACTGATAAGCACTGATACGGTGATAAAATTGGCTTGATTCTGTCATGCCAATGCCACACACGTCACCTTGTAGCCATCTCTGTCCCAACGAGACCCCCACTTTGACGCAGTTCTTAAAAGAAACTTCCAGGAGAATCGGCTACAAAATTAGAAATTAAATCTTTAATATTTCAAAAAAATCATTTTATTTATTACATTGGGAAAACTTTACTTGTTGCACACGTTTGAAGCTTAACAATGGAAGACCTTTCCATCAGGGGATATATGGAACTTCAATTGTTAGCACCTATAATGCTACAGCAATAGAGTCTATTTAATCCCAGATGGAATTTCTCCCAAGTTTCCTTACTCCACACACCTTTGTTTACCTAGCAATAAATAAGAACCCAGTTGTTAGTTGATTGGCGGATTACTTTTCTTGGGGTAATAATCCCTTCAAAAATAATAATGAAAAATAATAATTTGGTCACTCAATCCACCACTGTTTGTGGGACATTGTTATGCGCAATTGCCTGCTGCGTTTCACACACAAAATATACAGTCAATTTACTTTATATTCTGAGAAGTGCTATGTAAAGAGCAAGGATTACTATTATTATTACAAACTCCAATTTATCCAAAACTCTGCCACCCACATCCTCACACACCGAATCACCCAAGTGTTCGCCAGGCTCCACTGGCTCTCTGCAGATAAAAGTCCATGTCCTCACCTATCAATCCCTTCATGGTTTAGGGTCTTTGTAAAGCATTCCAAGACATTATCTGATTTGAAAAATGCTTTGGTGTTGTGGTTATACAATATTCTCATTGTTTGCTTTCCTTTACCAACTGAACCAGTAGGAAGAGCGCATGGTTTTATTTGGTCAGCTGGGTATGTGACACATGGAAACGCCATCACCATGTGTCCAACAGACTGAGAGTTTCACATATCCATCATTAAGCTATAATTTTAGCTCCTACAATCCATCCACACTTCTCAGGCATGATTACAATACAATTCAAATTTAGATTTATAAAACATCCTCCATACCGACCTGTTCGCTCCCTCCGCTCAGTGGACTCTGGCCTGCCCACCTCATTATCGGCAGCCTTTCTGTCCTCACCCTTTGGAACTCCATCCCACAATCCCTTCACCTCAAACCCTCCTTCAAGGCCTGTCTCAAGACCCTGCTGCCTGCCCTCCACCCTTCCTGATTCCAACCCCCAGTTTGGGTGTACACCTTTGACTGTCCATTGACTTGGGACATCCTCCCGACATGAAGGGCACTATAAAAATATAATTTGTTGTTGTTGTTCACAGTACTCCAAAGTAGTGCTCGTGACAGACTAGCCATCCTAGCTTGTCGGCAGAACTTAAGTAGTTTCGTCCAATGTTGGAAGAAACACATCGTATTTCAAAGACTGTAACTCAATCCTCCCGTTCTGAGGTTTCAGCTAGCCTCACTCACTGGGATGAACAAAGTTGACTTAATTTTTAATCACTGATTCTCTCTTCCAGGAAATACCTCAACTATCCTTTAATACATCACCCGCCATCCATCCATCCATCCATCCAACACCACCATCACCACCATTTTTTTTTGCAGTCAGCCAGATGCCTTACACCCATAGAACAATATAATTCACCTCAGAACCCCATCACATTGTTTAAAAATGTCCAAATAAACTATAGGTAGTTCTGCATCTACGTTATCCCTTTGGAGTGCACACTCTCTTCCCGGAGAGATGAACCTTGTTCACTTAATTCTAGAAAGTTTGGGCGCAGATTAACACGTGCCAAGGCTTGGGGACCCCAATGTACAAGTTGGGGGTACTGGATAAAACCACACAGTTGCCATTGCGTGCACTGGTTGATTGCTCCCATCCTGTGGAGCTCCATCTCCAAATCCCTCCATCCCTTCCACTACCTCTCTTCCTACAAGACCCATCTCAAGACATGTCTCTTTGACCGCATCTTCAGCCACACACCCTACCCCTCCCCTCCTATCTCTACCCCTCTTGATTCCAACCTCCAGCTTGACTGCAAACCCTTAACTGTCCAGCGCTTTGGGATGTCCTTCCATCCTTCCATTTATACGTAAGGCGCCATATAAATGTTACTTGTTGTTCAGCTAGGACCACTCATTAGAGTTTTGACTTATAGAGTTAACAGGATCTGAGTGGAAACAATCACTGACACCCCCACCACCGCCCAGGGACTCAGCTGTAGCGCCAAGTCTTGCCAATAAGCCAGGTTGTCATCAAGTCCCCAGCCTCTCTATCACTTAGTTCCTTGCCCCACGGAGGATTTCAGGGCCCACGACATGGTAACTTTAAACCACTAAATAATGGAATGCATTAAAGGTGCTCAAATAGAACAATCATTGCTTGAAGCAGGATGTTCACACATCATCTGCAGCTTCATAGAACTGGCTACTTCTCAACTGGATGCAGATTCACGCCTGCATTCAATTCAAATGCATGATATAGCCTGTGGGAAGCTTTTCTCACCATTAGTTTGGAGTTTAGAAGAAAAGCCCCCACACTTTGGGTATCTGCTGCCCCATTTACACTATCTCCCCCAGAGCCTGTGTGTGCGGCACCTGCATTATGAGGCGGTCCTCTCACCTCACAAGTCGAGTTCAATTCCCGGGGGGGGCAAACCTTAGGCAAGTTTCTTTATTCCACACGCTTCTGTTTACCTAGCAGTAAGTAGGAACCTGATTGTTGATTGATTGGCAGATCGCTTTCCAGGGGTAATAAGCCCTTCAAAAAAAATAATAATAATTTGATCAATCCACACCTGTTTATGGGACCCCCAGGGATTCAGCTGTAGCTCCAAGTCTTGCCAATGAGCCAGGTTGTCATCAAGTCCCTAACCTCTTTGGCTGCCACATTTTGCCCACAAAATATAGTCAATTCACTTTACAGTATATTCTGTGAAGCGTTTTGAGATGTCTCAAGAAACTGTTCAAGTGCTATATCAAATGCAAGGATTACTATTATTAAAAAAAATAATAATTTGGTCACTCAATCCACGACTGCTTGTGGGAGACCCAGTGATTTATTAACAATATTTATTTATTTATTATTATTCCTACATTCCGAGGTATTCCTGCATTCCAAACCTCTACCATTTTCACACCATCTCTGGATGGATCTTCGGAGACTGCTTGTGACAAACGGCATTCCACGCGTGCGCAGTCTTAATAACAATGCTGTTATTAATTCATAGTAATAATCCTGCCAATTTAAAAAGGGTTTATAACATCGCAAAATGACTTAGTAAGTTTCTATAAAGTGTGACTGTGTACTTGTAAGAAGAGATTAACAGCCAATAAGTGCACAGCAAAGACCCACAAACAACCAATTTTAATTTGGGGATTATTTTAGGGATTGTTGGCCTGGACACAAGGAGAATCCCTGTTTTCTTTTCAAGTACTACCATGTGACTCCAAAGCAGGTTTGCTTCTAGGAGACAAACATCTAAATAGTTCAGCTGGCAGCATCCTTGTCTCTGGGTCAGATCATTGTGGTTTCCAACCCCTAGACGGCTTGAGCTCAGTCTAGGCTGACACTCCAGTGCAGCATTGTATTGTCGGTGATGCTTGAATGAGACATTATGCTGAATTCCTGTCTATCTGTTTTAGGTGGACATCAAAGATCCTATCTGACATTAGAAGGGAATTTCTCTCTCTCAGTGTCCTGGCCAACAATCCCTCAGATAACAACAACAACAAAATTACATTTGTATAGCGCCTTTCACGTTGGGAGGAAGTCCCAAGGCGTTGGACAGAAAGAGTTACGGACCTGAGCTGAGGTGGGGGAGGGTAGGGGGGTGAAGCAGGGAGAGCGAAAGCAAGGTCGAAGAGGAGGGTCTTGAGGTGGGTCTTGAAGATAGTGAGGGATAATATATTAAATTCATAGTAATAATCCTGCCAATTTAATAAAGCGTTTATCGCAAAATGATTTACAAAGTTTCTATAAAGTGTGACTGTGTATTTGTAATACTATTTATATTTATATTTTTCATAAATATATATATTTATAAAGAGATAAATGAGTCATTCACCTCACGGCTATTTATGGGACATTGTTGTGCATAAATTTGCTGCTGTGCTTGCCAAGAAATGTTCAGACACCTCACTTGGCAGTGATTCACTGTGAAGCGTTTATAATAATAACAATAATAATCCTTAAATTTGATATAACGCCTTATCATGTCTTCGAGACGTCTCAAAGCACTTCACAGAACATACTGCAAAGTGAATTGACTTTATACTTTGTGGGTGAAATGCAGCAGCCAATTTGGCACAACAATGTCCCACAAACAGTCGTCGATTTAGTGAACACATTATTATTCTTATTTTGAAGGGGTTATTACCCCCAGAAAAGCAATCCATCAGTCGACTAACAACCGTGTTCCTACTTACTGCTAGGTAAACAGAGACGTGTGGAGTAAGGAAACTTGTCCAACGTTTCACCGAGAAAATATAGTCAATTGATTTTACAGTGTATCCTCTGAAGCGCTTTGAGGTGTCTCAAGACCCTCCTCTTCGACCATGCCTTCGGTCACCCTTTAACCCTACCCTCCCCACCTCCTGATCCCAACCACCAGGTTGGGTGTGGATCCTTGACTGTCCAGCGCCTTGGGACGTCCTTCTGACTTGAAAGGTGCTATACAAATGTAATTTGTTTTTGTTGTTGTCTGAGCAATGTGATAAGGTGCTATATCAAATGCAAGGATTATTATTATGCATGTATTGCCCTTCGATGACATGTGGGTAGTGTCTCAGAGCGCTTAGAGCAGGGGAAGGGAGCAATCACAGGTGAGGGTGAAGAGTTACAACAACAAAATTACATTTGTACAGTGTCTTTCACGTCAGAAGGATGTTTTTTTAGGCAGGTTTAATGACAGAAAAAGAGGGGATGAGAGAGGGGTGGAGGTAGGGAGTTCTAAAGTTAGGTTCTGAGATTGCCAATGACTCGGGGCACGGAAGAGGCAACACATACACAACAGGTCCTAGTCTAAAAGATGCCACCACCGTGAAGGGTAGTGTCTATATAAATGCAAGCTGTTATTGACTTAGTTAAGAGAAAGAGTCAAGCAGAGCGAGAGAGTGGTAAAGTGTGAGAGGAGAAGATCAGAGAAATAGGGAAATGTTTGAGTGAAGGAAGGGATTTATATGTGAGGGTGAAATCCTTGAAATCGATCCTTTGGGAATGCCAGCAGGGTTAGGAAAGAACAGCCAATGAAATCCCTGGTGTTTGCTTGTTGAGAGGCCCTTGTTTGTGGTCAACTACAAACTGCGCTAGAAAGTGGTGTTTGAGATGTAGAGTGAATCAGCTCCTGTTCGTTAAATACTGTAAGTGTCTCCTCTCCTGTGTCTTCTGATAGCACTGCATTCCTGATCCTTCGCAACCTTGTTAATAATAATCCTTGCATCTGATATTGCATTTATAATGTCTCAATGCACTTCATGGAATTGCTATTGGTTGAAGCGACTATGTATATTTGTAGTAAAATGGCAGCAACCGATTTGTATAACTTATACAATTATTTAAAAAATAATAATACTTGCATTTGATATAGTGTCTAAAGCACTTTACAGGATATACTGTAAATTATACTGTAACAGCATGAATGAAATGACCAATTTTATCTGGGAATTTGTTGGCCAGAACCCAGGGGAAAACTCCTTTCCATTTTGAAACGGTGTCGTGGGATCTTTAATGTCCACCTGAACAGGCAGGCAGGACCTTGGTTTAACGTCTCATCTGAAGGACCGTACCTCTGACAATTCAGGCCCGAGCGTACGCGCAGCACTGTGCTGGATTGGACAGCCTGGAGAAAAGGAGGTCAAGGTTGAAGCAACTGAACCACTACAATCTTATTTGGATTTTTTTTTCGTCGTTTGAAAAAAAAAATCTGCGTTATACAGTTCTGCGCATTGTCCGCGCTATTAGCTGGATATAGTGGCCAGAATCTAAAGGCACGATTTTAGAGAATGGGGGCAGAGGAATGCTTTTGTTTGTGGGTGGTTTGGACCTGGGGTTGTTAACGGGAGCCGCCTGTCAAACTCTGTCCCGTCAGGACCCCTGGGACTCATTGACGTCTTGTGATGGATGAATACATGTGTTATAATCCCCACTGTCCGTCTCTCCCGCCTAACTGCCTCTTTGTTCCTTTTAGCATTTTTCATGGGGTCAACTCCAAGCCAGACCAAGAGTTCCACATATGCACAGAAATACACCACCCCCAATCCCTACCCCACACAACCCTCTCTCCATCTGTAACTCCCCCTGTAACCACTGCTCCTTCGTAGCACTCTCCCTCTCTCACAACTATCCACAATAACCCTCCCCACAACCCATAACATTCCCTTCTTTTAACACTGGATGTCTTTCTGATGTGAAGGGCGCTGTACAAGTCTAATTTGTTGCTGCTGTTGTCGTTCACCCACAAATACACAGTCCATCCTCAGTATATCATGTGAAGTGCTTTGAGACGTCTCAACAACAGGATAAGGCGCTATATCAAATACAAGGAATATTATTATGAATCCTATGAGGTATTTTGAGACATCTTAATGACACGATACACCATTATTTCAAATGCAATGATTATGATCGTCTCCCAGGATCTGTAACGTCCCTCTACAAATTTCTTTCCCTCTCCTTCGCTCCCGGCCCTGACTGCCCTCTCTCTCAGCCCCCCCACCCCCAGCCTCTCTCTCGCCCACTCTCTCTCTCTCACCCCCTCTGTCCCTCTCTCTCTCTCACCCCCTCTGTCTCTCTCTCTCACCCCCTCTCTCTCTCTCTCACCCCCTCTGTCCCTCTCTCTCTCACCCCCTCTGTCCCTCTCTCTCTCACCCCTCCCCCTCTGTCCCCTCTCTCTCTCTTCACCCCCTCTGTCCTCTCTCTCTCACCCCCTCTGTCTCTCTCTCTCTCACACCCTCTGTCCTCTCTCTCTCACACCCTCTGTCTCTCTCTCTCTCTCACACACCCTCTGTCCTCTCTCTCTCTCACACCCTCTGTCTCTCTCTCTCTCACCCCCTCTGTCCCTCTCTCTCTCCCCCTCTTCTCTCTCTCACCCCCTCTGTCTCTCTCTCTCACCCCCTCTGTCCCTTTCTCTCTCACCCCCTCTGTCCCTCTCTCTCTCACCCCCTCTGTCTCTCTCTCTCACCCCCTCTGTCTCTCTCTCTCTCACCCCCTCTGTCCTCTCTCTCTCTCACCCCCTCTGTCTCTCTCTCTCTCACCCCCTCTGTCTCTCTCTCTCTCACCCCCTCTGTCTCTCTCTCTCACCCCCTCTGTCGCTCTCTCTCACCCCCTCTGTCTCTCTCTCTCACCCCCTCGCTGTCCCTCTCTCTGACCCTCTCTGTCCCTCTCTCTGACCCTCTCTGTCCCTCTCTCTGACCCTCTCTGTCCCTCTCTCTGACCCTCTCTGTCCCTCTCTTTCACCCCCTGTCTCTCTCTCTCTCACCCCCTCTGTCCCTCTCTCTCTCACCCCCTCTGTCTCTCTCTCTCTCACCCCCTCAGTCCCTCTCTCTCTCTCACCCCCTCTGTCCCTCTCTCTCACCTCCTCTGTCCCTCTCACCCCCTCTGTCTCTCTCACCCCCTCTGTCTCTCGCACCCCCTCTGTCCCTCTCTCTCTCACCCCCTCTGTCCCTCTCTCTCTCACCCCCTCTGTCTCTCTCACCCCCTCTGTCTCTCTCACCCCCTCTGTCTCTCTCACCCCCTCTGTCTCTCTCACCCCCTCTGTCTCTCTCACCCCCTCTGTCCCTCTCTCTCAACCCTCTGTCTCTCTCACCCCCTCTGTCTCTCTCACCCCCTCTGTCTCTCTCACCCCCTCTGTCCCTCTCACCCCCTCTGTCCCCTCTCTCTCTCACCCCTCTGTCTCTCTCACCCCCTCTTCTCTCTCACCCCCTCTGTCTCTCTCACCCCCTCTGTCCCTCTCTCTCTCTCACCCCTCTCTGTCCCTCTCTCTCACCCCCTCTGTCCCTCTCTCTCTCACCCCCTCTCTGTCTCTCTCACCCCCTCTGTCTCTCTCTCTCTCACCCCCTCTGTTTCTCTCTCTCACCCCCTCTGTCCCTCTCTCTCACCCCCTCTGTCCCTCTCTCTCAACCCTCTGTCTCTCTCACCCCCTCTGTCTCTCTCACCCCTCTGTCCCCCTCTCTCACCCCCTCTGTCTCTCTCACCCCCTCTGTCTCTCTCACCCCCTCTGTCTCTCTCACCCCCTCTGTCTCTCTCACCCCCTCTGTCTCTCTCTCTCACCCCCTCTGTCTCTCTCTCTCTCTCACCCCCTCTGTCTCTCTCTCTCTCTCTCTCACCCCCTCTGTCTCTCTCTCTCTCTCACCCCCTCTGTCGCTCTCTCTCACACTCTCCCCCTCTGTCGCTCTCTCTCACCCCCTCTGTCTCTCTCTCACCCCCTCTGTCCCCCTCTCTCTCACCCCCTGTCCCTCTCTCTCACCCCTTCTGTCCCTCTCTCTCACCCCCTCTGTCCCTCTCTCTCTCACCCCCTCTGTCCCCCTCTCTCTCACCCCCTCTGTCTCTCTCTCTCTCACCCCCTCTGTCTCTCTCTCTCTCACCCCCTCTGTCTCTCTCTCTCACCCCCTCTGTCTCTCTCTCTCACCCCCTCTGTCTCTCTCTCTCACCCCCTCTGTCTCTCTCTCTCACCCCCTCTGTCCCCCTTCTCCTCCTTCACCCCTCTGTCTCTCTCTCTCACCTCTGTCTGCTCGTCTCTCTCTCACCCCCTCTGTCGCTCTCTTTTGCCGCTACAAATTTAGGTAACAGCCCAAACCTGTTTTTTCCACTCGACGAGCAAGAAAAAACCCGCCCAATTGGGCGTGAAACCCGCCCAAAAAGTGGCCACGTTGGGCTCCGGCTGTCAATTCGCGCGCTCAGACGACGTCGCTTCGCTGATTGGCCGCACGTCGTAGAGGGGGTGGGGGTACGGCCTCCTGATTGGTCCAGTTAGAAGACGCGGCCCGCGGATCAGCCGGCCCGCCCCCTCCCCTCCTGCCCCCTGATTGGCTGGCGCCGGGCAGCCGCGTTTGGAGACGGCTGTTGTTTTTCGAATAAAAGTGCCGGCGCGCGGGCGCCGCCGCTTGAGTCACGGCGGAGACCGTGACCAGTGCTGAGGACGGCGGAGCGTTGCGCAGCCGGGGCCTGAGGGTGGGCCCCACACCCGCGCTTTTAGCTTTAAAGCCCTTTTTAGTTTGGCTTTCTTTCCCGCCGCCCTCCCCTTCCCCTCCTCCTCGCTCGGCTGCAAATAAATGACGTCCTGAGGCGGTGAGAGTCCGGGGCCTCGAGCGGAGCCGCTTTTTTATTTTTTGCCTCTACGCCCTTCTATTTTGTTTCATTTTTGCAGAATACTTTCCCCGTCGTTTGATCGTTTCTCCCCCTTAATTTTGGTTGGATTGTAACCCCTGTGGGAGTCCCCCCCCCCCCCCCCCCACTCCCGCTCTCTCGCTGCACGTTGTTAAGGCCGCCCGCAATGAGCAGCCCGGCCCCGGCCAGCCCGCCCCCCGCCGCCAGGCCCCGCCGCAACCTCGCCCTCACGTCGCTGCTGTCCGAGAAGGGCAGGTCGTGCAAGGCCCTCTTCCTCACCCCCTTCAGCGGCTGCTGTGAGCCGCCCGTGTTGTCTCCCGTCACCAACCTGGCCAACAACATGAACAAGCTGGCGGGACTGGGCAGGTACTCCCCGCGCTCGGCCTGTCTGTACCGTGTGTGTGTGTCTATATAGTGTGTATATATCTATAGTCTGTGTGTATATAGTGTGTGTGTGTATATATATCTATAGTCTGTGTATATATATCTATAGTCTGTGTGTGTATATATAGTGTGTGTATATATATCTATAGTCTGTCTATATATAGTGTGTGTATATATATCTATAGTCTGTGTGTATATAGTGTGTATATATATCTATAGTCTGTGTATATATAGTGTGTGTGTATATACCTATAGTCTGTGTGTGTATATATAGTGTGTGTATATATATCTATAGTCTGTGTATATATAGTGTGTGTATATGTATATCTATAGTCTGTGTATATATAGTGTGTGTATATATCTACAGTCTGTGTGTATGTAGTGTGTGTGTATATATATCTATAGTCTGTGTATATATGGTGTGTGTGTATATATAAGCACTATGTATACTGTGTACTGTGTATATATCCACATGTGTGTATGCTGTTTAGCTGTGTGACTGTACTCTGTCTCTGATATATATGCGTGTGTACATATATATATACATATATACACACATACACTCTGTGTAGTGTATCTGTGTGTATATATACTCTACTGTATATAGTATATACTCTATGTAATTGTGTATATATATGTATGTGTATATACTCTATGGCTGTATGTCTGTACTCTGTCTCTATATGAGTGTGTACATGTATTTTCTGTGTATAGAGATGTCTCAAAGCGCATCAGAGCTTTGAAGTGACTTTTGTGGGCAAAGCGGAGCAGCCAGTTTTGTACCCAGTCAAGTCCCACAAACTGCCATATGACCAACCAATTTATTTGTCTTTTTGGCCAAGTGTCTGCCTATCCACACACTGCTGTTCAAATCCATGCACCTCCCTACATCTCTGATCCCCTCACTCCCCAATCCACAACCTGGCACCTCTGCGCGACTGGCACCAGCCTCTTGCTTGTCCCTTGCACCGTCCGCCCCACCATTGGAGGTTGTGCTTTCAGCCACTATGCCCCAAATCTCTGGAACGCAATCCCTCCGCCTTGCCCCCTCTCTCCCCTTTTTCAAGTCCCACCTTGGTCGCCCTCCCACCTCTCTCTGCCTTCCCTCACCCCTACACCACCCCTCCCCCATGCTCGGGCTCCGATACCTGACTGTTCAGCGATTTGGGACGTCCTCCTGACGTGAAAGGCGCTCTATAAATGTAATTTTGCTGCTGTTGCTTAATAATAATAATAAAATTTTTTAAATTTTCCTCTTCGACCGTGCTTACGGACACCTCTGCTCGGAGTCGGGCTCCGCCACTGTTAAGCGCTCTGAGATGCTACCCTGCGTGGAGGGCCCTCTGAGTACAAATTGTTGCTATTGCGTGCTGTGTGTGTATATACATTATGTGTATATACTCTAGCTGTGTGTTTGTACTCCTCTGTGTCTCTGTCTGTGTATCTCTGTCTGCACTCTTTCTACATCTGTGTCTTTGTTTCTGTCTGCGTGTCTACCTATTTCTGCCTACCAGTGTATCCGCACACTATCTGTGTTCATAATAATAATCCTTACATTTGATATAGGGCTTATCACATTGTTGAGACGTCTCAAAGCGCTTCACAGCTTTGAAGTGACTATTTTGTGGACAAAGAAGGGTAGCCAGTTTTGCATGCAATGAAGTCCCACAAACTCCCGTGTGATGAGCCAATTTTTTTTGTGGCCAGAGCTCCAGGAGAAACTCGCTTTTCTTTTCAAATAGTGCCATGGGATCTTTAATGTCCACCTGAACAGGCAGACGGGAGGGATTTTGGTTTAATGTCTTACAGAATGGATGAGTCTATACTGTGACCGTGACGTTTTCTGTGTCTCTGTACTGTATTTGTGCCTGTACACTAACTTTGCATCTCGCTATACTGTCTGGACGGTGTACACTTTCCGCCTGTCTGTGTACTGTCTTGACATTCTGTGTGTCTATCTTTCAGTACCTCTGTCTATACCTCTCCATCTTGTGTACCTGTACCACTCTGTAATTGTCTTCATCTGTTCTAACTGCAAAGCTTTCCTTTTCGGGCACTGTGGCAAGATTTGTGCTACTTGGTCAGAGCAGATCTACCTGGCTCAGGCAGTAGACAACTGATATTGCTACAGAGGATTAATTTGATTCTGATGAGCAGTTGCCAAGTGTATCATCTTGGAGCGATCTCAGTCTGAGACCCCATTTTACCTTCCTCTTCTACAGATGAGTCGCCAGTTAATCTGATTAGTGCAAGTTTGAGCCCTTAGGTGGATAGCAAATAAGGGTGCGCCTTGTGAACCTCCTCGATGAACATCATAACATTTGATAGAGTATTCCCCCCATTTTCCTGCCTACAGCCCAGACACACACACTGAGCTGAGCGTTGGTTCCACTAGTTGGAGTAATGTAACATGTAGGAGCAGCAGTAGGCCATTTGGCCCTTCGAGCCTGCCCCGCCATTCAACCATGGCTGATCTTCTAATCTAACTCCAGCTAATAACCTAACTCTGCCTTATCCCCATATCCGTTAATCCCTCTTGCAATAAGAAATCTATCTATCTCAGTCTTGAATATGTTCAAGGAGTTCAAGAGTACGGAGCTTCAGCAGCTGCTTGCCTCTGCATTCCCCTTTTTACCACAAATCCACCTTGCTTTCTGCTCCTGGATTTTGCAAAGGGGCCTTCCTCTGCACCATCCAAAAGGGCATTGTAAGCTGAAGTTGTTATCCATACAAATCAACTATTCTTGCATTTTCCAACTAATAATTTCAAGGTACCCTCAGGAGTTATGCAGAACCATAATACTGCACCCACCATCATGTTCCACTGTGTGTTTAAGATGGTGAGTTCAACACACAAGAACTGCAGCTGAACTTGCCAACAGGATGGGACATTATTTTGTGCAATTGGCTGCTACGTTTCACCCACAAAAACAGTCAACCACTTTACAATCTATTCTGTGAAGTGCTTTGAGATGTCTCAATGTCGTGATAAAAAGCTATATCAAACGCAAGGATCTGAAAGCAGGAGTGCTTGGATTCATCAAGCCCGTCTCCTTTGATTTGTCCAATGTTGTGTTCTTCTGATTGTCCTGGTTTTATATTGCTCCCTCATCCAAATTCAACCTCCACAATTCTTATGGTGGCTGATCATGCCATTGTTTGTGGGATGTTGTTGGGTGCAAATAGCTGCAGTGTTTGCCTCCATCCCTTTTTGTAACTGTTTTGAGGTTTCCTTTAAGTGAAGGTACTGTACTGTATCATGTAGTACATTTCCCCATCACCTAGTGATGCCAAATGATTAGCATCTCTTCACACAAGATGGATATGCGGTGTTCCAGGAGTAAGGGAAAGTTCTCCTAAATCGAGTGTTGTAGAAAATGCCTGGATTCTTTCAAATACAGTTCTTTTTAAAAAGGGTGGCTGTGCTTGTTTATCCTGTGGAGATGTCCCTCTGATCTAATTAAACCCATTGTGGAAATAGGTTTAATATATGTATTTCATCATAGAAGCAGTTTTTTTTCCCTTGTACCTGTGTTTTGTGTCATCCACACCATTTTATGTTAAGTTGAAATAGATATATCAGTTGCAATATACAAATCTGTTCCCTCCCACTCTGTTAAGTTGCTTTCTGTGTCACTATTTCAGTTCTGACATTTTGCTCAAATTGTTTCCATGTAGTAACTGTGACACACCGAAACGCAGGCCAAGTGGGACTCCGTTGCTGGTTAAGACTTTATCCTCTGACTCAGATGCAGGTCAGTATGAATTTGGATTTTTTTTGTAGACATCCTGTTTTTCCTTTTGTTCTTGGGCCATTCGAGTTGTATATTATGTGTTCAATCGCATTAAAATATTCCACATTGGGTCAGACTAAATCTAATGCCATAAGTATGTAACTTCTTCTACAATTCAGTGTGGATGTGAGAAATGATAGGATGTCTATTTATGTGAATGAGACCTTGTTTCATCTGAAGCGAAACTATTTTGCACATTGTTCAAATTTATGGTATTATTTTGAGGCTAGGACACAGCATGCCATGTGGTCTTTGTTTCCAGATGTGGCTGGATGCCATTTTGAATTCCTTTATTTTACAAAATATGGAACCGGGTGATTGAGAGAGAGAAATACTTCAGTTTTGCATCCATTAGAGCAGACTATAAGTGAGTCAATTTGTAGCACACTGGGGAGGAATGGAAAGAGAAGAGCGATGGGAAGTGGTGTGTTAAATCATGTGGTTTCCTGCCTGTGTTTTTTAAAAAAAATCCCATAGTTTACCCTCATGTTCTATCCTACAAACTCCCTCATGAGTCATTGGCATACACACTTGCACAGAGCAGGAAGACATGAAGGTTTGCCTGCTGACCTGGATTTCAGCACAAGTTCATCACTGTGACTGTGCTGTGCTTGTTTATCCTGCGGAGACACCTACTCTAATCTAATTTCCGCACTCTCTCTCTCCCCCCCCCACCCCCATTATCTCCAATTGCATGGCCCTGTTGGAGAGTACTATAAGTGATAACACAATTCCTCCTGGCTGAAGTATTATCTACACCGAGTCTTCAACTTCCACATGTACGAGGATGACACCCACCTCTATCTCTCTGAATGTTAGCATGACTGAGTCCCTCCTGATTGGCTTGCACTAGCGCCTCAGGCACTGGCAGCATTAGCATCCACGGTTGCATACCCACCAAACCAGTGAGGAACCTGGGCGTCTTGGGACGTCCTCCCGACTTGAAAGGCGCTCTATAAATGAAATCTTGTTGTTGTTGTTGTTGTCTTGTTCAACCCTTAACTGTCCCTTTCTCCCCCCATATCTGTACCATGACCCACTCTGCCTTTCCCACCTCTGCAAAATTGCCCGACTCCGCCACTGTCTCACCCCTCAGGCGCCCAAACCCTCATACACGTATTCATCACCTCAAGGCTCGACTACGGAAACTCCCTTGTCGGTCTCCCCAGCTCTTCCCTCCAGAAGCTGCAGATCATCCAGAACTCTGTAGCTCGTGTCCTCCTGCACCAGGCTTCGTGACCCCATCACCCCCATCCTTGTCGGCTCCACTGGCCCCCAATCCCTCAGAGGATAGAATTCAAAATCCTTGTCCTCACTTCTAAGGCCCTCCATGGCCATGGCCTTGCCCCATCCTACATCTCTGACCTGCTACCCCCCTATTAATCTGTCCACTCCCTGTGCTCAGCAGGCTCAAGCCAGCTGCATGTCTCCTGCCCAACTTGCCTTACCATTGGTGCCCGGGCTTTCAGCCTCTCTGCCCCCACTCTTTGGAACTCCATCCCACAATCCCTTTGCCTTGTTCGCTCTCTTGCCTCTTTCAAGGCACGACTCAAGACCCTCCTTTTTGACTGTGCCTTCAGCTGCCCTCCTACCCCCTCTGCCCTTCCTCGTCCCACCCCTGTCCCCATGCTTGGGTCCTGATCCCTGACTATTTAGCACCTTGTTACTCCTGACATGAAAGACGCTTTAGAAATGCAATGTTGTCATTCTCTCTGTCAGCCCTGTAATCAGCATGCATTAAAGCTGGATGAGAAAGTACTGAGCTGAAGTTGATGTCTCCAGTCTGGGAGGAGAGAAGCAATGGGAGAAGGGGGTAGAAAGATGCATTTTACATGTACAGTCACTAGTTATTCCAAGGCTTCTGTGATGGTTGTGATGGAGCCCATGAGCTGTTGTACGTCCATCCTTGTAGCTGGACAGTGGGTTATGGGCTTCAAATGGCTTCATTTGGAGAGACTTCTAAACTTCTACGCAATCTTGGTTTGAATTTTAAATCTCTCTGGGTCTATTAGGAAATAGAGGAATATCGCAGATGGGATTAGGAAGTGTGGAGGCTCGCATGGAGTATAAATACCACTGCGGTCTAATCTAGTTGAAGCTGTTTCCATCTGTAGTGTTCTGTATAATTCTAGGGGTAAAGGCCTATGTGCCTTTAACGGTGATGTCTTCTGGGATGACTGGTTTTAACTAATCCTGATGCTTGTTTTATTTGCGCAGGACTTTGTATGGATTCTCCGAGCCCCCTGGATGAAAAAGAGATTGATGAAACGTGAGTTTGCACTTTGGCTTGTGGTCTTCCCAGCAATGATGGAGCCCAAGGGTTGAAATGTGGTAATATAGTATAGCAATCCTTGCATTTTTGGTGTTGTGCTTAGAACGGTCAGAATTCGTTACATGCACTTTGCGGCAGTTTGTTAAATGTAATGACTTGTTGAAGACTTCTGTTAAAGAATATGCTGAACTGAGCATAAAACTTTAAATAGGGAGAGGACTGAAGCCACGCTTCGATGTAACATGAAACAAAACAGCTGAAGGTATGAAGTGCAGTGAGATTGAATGGACAGCTTATTCTGAAAGCAGGTGCTGACTTGATGGGCCTAAAACACTGTAAATTTCTGTTTCTGTAATGCAACTTGTGTACATTTAGAATATTTTGTTTTTTAAAAAATAGGTAGTGGAGACAGTCTTTGGCTCTGACATTGTGGTTGGATTTTGTAACAGTTGAAGTTATAGCTGTCTTTGCTTGAAATATCTTGTGGTTTCAGCATTTCATGTATTGACGTATGCTTTACTGAAACTCGTTTGGTAGAAGCAATAGCAGATGTGACTCCCGACAGTGACGGATGCTGCCTTCTACTGCCCACATTTAAACTTGGGAGAATTTAGGAGGAAGCACTGGGTTACCCTGTATGCTTACTACCACTGAGTTCATAGTAATAAGTCAAAAGCAGAAGTTATTAATGTAACAGTATATCTGTGCAGCAATTCTATTCCCATTTCTGGAGCCTTAATATCATTCTTGTTTGGTATTTTGGCTTATGTCAATATCTTAAAGCACTTCAAGATTTCACTGCCAAGTTTGGTGACTACTGTACATTGTAGATTAACGTGGCAGCCAATATACACACAGCAATGTCCCACAGACAGTGGTGAAATGAATGACCAATTTTATGGATTGTTGGCCAGGAGCCTGGGAAAAATTCCCTTCTCTTTTTGAATAGTGCTATAGGACCTTTTACATTCACCAAAATAAAATTTAGGCAAGTGGGACCTCAGTTTTTATTCCCCATTTCGTCCAAAGGATGGTACTTCTGGCAATGTAGCACTCCCTCCAGTACTGCAATGGAATGTAGCCTGGACTGAGCTGACACAGTGACTTTGAACTCATAGTCTAGTTTAGACTGATGCTCAGAGGAGCACTGCATTGTCAGAGGTGTTGTCCTACTGATGACATGTTACACCGAGATTCTGTCTCCTGCTGAGGTATTCGAAAAGAGAAGGAAAAGTGTTTTTCTTGGTGTCGTGGCTAACACTGCCCCAGATACAATTAGTCACTCACTTCATGTCTGCTTGTAGGACATAGCTATGTACGACGTGGCTGCCATATTTGCCTACAAAATACAGTCAACTACATTTTGCAGTGGTTGGGAGACTTCTTCCAGATACTTGGTCTATTTGTTCTGCAGCGTCATAAAACCAAAAGGCCTGAGGCTGATTTTCAGGCCTAGTTGTTGGGTGATTCAACATACCATTGTACTAGATTCAGACCTTTTTGGCCAACCAGCAGACTTGAGGAGCTTTTCTGAGCTGTTCTTGAAGGCTTCCCTGCCTCCCCTCTCACTCTTCCCATTAAGTTGTGGGTAAAGGTAGCCATGTACATCAGAATCATGATTTTTAATCTTAAATTGTATAAGTTCAGGTAGCTGCAGTAGATTTGGTTGGCTGGAGAGGGAATTTATCCATGGTTTCCTTTTTAAAGTCCCCCAAGTAAAATTGCTTACTCTCTTCATGGCTATTTACAATACAATTTACCTTTGTGTATGTGGGTTCTGTTATTTGCTACCAGAATAGGGTTACAGGTCAAAACTCCTTTGGAGCCAATGGTATACATTTCTCCCAGTAGGTGTTTGCTTGAAATTTCCTCACTATAAATTGAAAATGCAGAGACCTGAATCTAAGATTACAAAGAATGTACGCCAGAAACAGGCCGATCGGCCCCGCCAGTCTGTGTCGGTGCTCATACTCCACGAGTCTTCACCTATTCCTTACTCCCTCCCGTATGTTTCTATTCCACTCTCCCCTGTGAAGATCTAGCATTCCTCTTGAATGCACCTATACCATGTGAATGAAGGTGTTGGCTTTAAATGTAATCGTCAATCTCAGGCGGTGCTGAATTTTGGCAGTTATTTAAGTTTCAATTCATTTACAGTCAATTCACTTTACAGTGTGTTCTGTGAAGCGCTTTGGGACGTCCTCCTGACGTGAAAAGGCGCTATATCAAATGCAAGGATTATTATTATTATTATTATTTGTTTTTGAAGCCATTTGGTTCTGCAGTTTTTTTTTAAAAAAATGAGATTATCAAAATTCTGTGCAATCTGGGCGTGGTCTCGAGGCTAAAACGATGGAGCCCCAGATGTCATCAGTAATAATGTGCCATATCACATCATTGATGTCTCAAGGTGCTTCATGGGATATACTGTAAAGTGGATTGACTAGTTTTTTGTGGGCGAATTTAAGGTTCTCTGCAGCAACCTAAAATGAGTGCTCTTGAAGGAAGACTGTTAAAAACTTACCATCTAAATTTAGACTGAACTTTTTGTGGTTGAATTAAATTTGGAAGTCCCTTCCTAATCAAGGTATTTCACCTAAGTCACTGCAATTTACTTTAAATCCTGTGATGTACTTTGAGATGACCTCCCAACATGAAAGGTGCTGTATCAAATATAAAGATTATTTCTATACAAGTTGCCACCGGTAGGTAGCCTTACAGAATGAATTTCTCATAGAATGACTTTCCTCTTCTCCCCTCAGTGCATCCCATCAAGCAAGGTGGAAATGGAAGAGAGTGAGGGTTTTAAGCAAAGGCATTTGCACAGAAGTTTAGGTGGGATTTAAATCCAGGGAAGGAGGAGCAAGGACTTTACTTTGGAGGAAGAGTTGGGATTTTGTTTGGAAAAAGTGATCGAAAAAATGTAGTTAGGACTTCACCATCCATCAGTTGCTCTCTTTACATTAGAGACTCCTTCCACCCTCCTCCTTCCCCCCCCCCCCCCAGTTCAAAGGATTCTCCAACATGCAGCTTCTGCATCTTAATAGAACAAGCTGGTCTGAAAAGACTGGCCGTAGGTTCATGTCCCATCTGTCGCTGGCTCACCCACTTAGACTACGGTATGAGGAGGCGACACATTGAATGGGGAGAGCCTGCCTCTTCTGCTCGGGCAGCCCCATTGTCCGGCCCTTTGTGTCGCCACACTTGTGCCTTCCTGATTATCGCATTGATTTTAAATGCTGTCAGCTATAGGGGGCCGCCTGGTGCTACCGAGACATACGGCATCTGGGAACTAATCTCCCACTCAGACAAAGGGACTTATTTACATACAGGTGGTTAGCAGAGAGGCTGGAAGCCATCACTATGGTGATGTAGCAATCTTAACCTGTTTTTATTAGGTGGGGTGTTAGCAACATCTATTTTTAATATTTTCTATCTTTCTTCATCTTTTCCTCCACTCACCCCCCCCCCCCCCCCACACACACACACACACACACACACACAACCAATTGCTCTGTTCAGGGCTTGTTCTCAATAGAGGTGCTACCCTCTGGGTCAGATTTCAGGAGAATCGTCCTTTTCTTCAAGTAGTGTTGTGGGATCTTCAGAATATCCCCCGAAACAAGCATTTTGATAATTTGGATGACGGTGTTAGGGAGTTGTGATTCTCCGGTATCCTGGGCAACAATCCACCACCCTAATAAAATTGGTTATCCACATGTCTTTCTGTGGGGACTTTGCTGTGTACAAAATGACTTGAGACATCTCAGCACCATGATTAGGTGCTATAATCAAATGCAAGGATTATTATTTGTCAGTCAGTGAGTAGCTGAGAAACAAGAAGGGTTAAACCTCATATGTGAATTGCGGACACAGTGCTAGAGAGTGACGCGTGCTTATGGTGCCATGACCCGGCAACATGTCTTCAGTAAAGTTGAGGAGACTGTGTGGGGCGAGGAATCCCAGCTCTGGATTTATTCACGCAGCCTGCAGCCATTCTTTGCAGGATTTCTTTCAGGTTTCAAGAGCTGTCGTTGGGGCAGATGTGTTTTTTTTCATTCCAAACAATTAATAGTGCAAAGGCTCACCATGCTTTATGTCCCTGGTTAATGTGAACGTGATCAGTCACTGAAGTGACATTGAGAGTCTTTTCACAGCCTTTTGAAGGTGTAAGTTTATAAATTTGCAATGGAGGCTTTTGTTTCCCTGATGGATTTGTGGCTGTTGTGGTGATTTTAAAATCCCTATAAACCTACATTGACATTGTCTTCGGTTATCTTCCTTCCAACTATTTTTTCCTTAACCCCTCCCTTCCCTCTCCTTGCTCTGACTCCCACTCCATCTCTAAAGTGTTTGAGGTGTTGGTGTGTGCAACTTGTTGTTTTTAAACCAGTTCTGGGTCTAAACTTCCAAGTTGTGAAGCCACTTGTATGAGTACTGCAGTTAAAAGAGCTTTTTTCAATCCATGCCAGACTGTCCAAAAAGATACCCATTGCAGACATTTTATTACAAGTGTTACCCTTTGTCTTTACAGGTTTGAAAAAGCAATATTGGAATCTGGAAAAGTGGTTTCCAAGTAAGTAAATTTGTTTTATGAATAATCTCCTCACTGTATGAGTTAACGGTATTCTTACTAGCATAGTTTAGTCCGTGGTTTAAAGATCAGATTGTGTATTCCAGCTTAAGAACTAACCAGACTGCACCCAAGTCTGAGCTGCAGCATTTTATCCGGTAAAGGTCACGGGTTAACCTATTCAGCAAGTGCAAAGTCTTTGTTTGACCTCTGCGGTTTGCTTAGTTATTGACCTATTTTTGGGATGCCTTTAATCTCTTGCCTCTGAGAGTAATGAGATGCAGAATTGAGTGCTCTCCTGACCACTGAGACGCATTTAAAAAAAAAGAATAAAATTAAATAAAATACACTTTAGAAAACTTGCAGGTTATTTAAGAAGCACACATTGCTCTTAACTGGCTAATGGCAACGTATCGGAACCAAGTGAGTTTTTTTATATACAAAGCAGATGCAAATGACAAACTACTGTGCTGGAAATGCACAATGTCTTTTCGGTGATTATTTTCGAGAAAGCTTAGTCAATGACTTTAGTTTAACCCTTTACCCGAACAAATGACGTAACATTCTCTTTCAGGTGCAGTGTTTAGTGCTTCTATAAATGGAATCTTGTTGTTGTTGGTTCATTTTTAGGAGTCCAGGCTATTTATGGATAACTGCAATCTGGTTATTCCAGTGATGTTCCAGCTACAGTGCAGTCCTGTAGTTCAGTGGGTAGAGCACTCGCCTCAAGCGAGAGACCTGGGTTCAGTTCCTGGCAGGGCAAAATGTTGGGCAAGTTTCCTTACTCCACAAGCCTCTGTTTACCTTGCAGTAAGTAGGGACCTGGTTGTTAGTCGATTGGTGGATCGCGTTTCCAGGGTAATAATTTCTTCAAAAATAATAAATTGGTCACTTCTATGCACGACTGTTTGGGACACTGCTGTGCACAATTATCTGCTGCTTTTCGCCCACAAAATATACAGTCAATTCATTTTACAGTATATTCTGTGAAGCGCTTTGAGACGTCCCAACGACAAAAGGCGCTGTATCAAATGTAAGTATTATTATTGTAGTCTAAAGACTCCAAAAAGGTAGCAACAGCATTGGCACTGAATCTCTGCAGCAGCTACAGGTGTCTCATTCTTAACATGGAGACCAGATCTTCAATGGTTGGCTCCTGCCTTCAGTATCTTGTCTTTTTCTTGGTTATTGTGCTAAATACAAATTGTGAATCTGATGCTGTTCACAACTTTCTTTATTATAGTGGTCTTATTGGACATTTTTTAAAATGCTTCAACCCCCAAAAATTACCTTCTTTTGTAATTGTACTTTACTCTCTTAATCTCCTCCTGTTTTCCTTTTTTTAGGAAGTTTCCAATCCGAAGAATAAATTCACTTCCGGTAAGCCACCACTTACAGTTGTGTGTGAGTTGGGAAAAATTGGCATTGTGGTATATTGAAACTTGTCGAGACATTTCAGGCATATTAGTGAGTGTGAAAATGTGTTTTCTGCAATGAGACCATGTGAATTTTTTGAGGGAATGTAACACTTGCATCCTGCCATGAGCTTGAAACCTCAGCTAGCTTAACGCTGAATTCAAAGGGGAGTTGAGACAGCAAGCCTGGTTGCACTTTATGTAGAATGGAAGTGCCTTTGTTTTTTTTTAAATCCTCCTGAAAATGGCTACTTGTATTGATTTTGCAGACCACAGCTATTTCCTTGTATCATTTCTTGAGTATATTTACTTGGAGCCTGGAGAGTTAATGGGACAGGAGGGCAGCAGCTGTTGTCTTTGCCTGATGTACACTTTCCAATGTTGGAAAGATAGTGAGTGGGAGCCAGGTAGTCAATCCGCCTTTTTCTTTCCTCCACAACTTCCCAGCGAGAGGGAACCGTGAGTCCAGTGGTGGATTGGGGAGCGGAAGGTCCAACTTGCTGACCAACTAATTCAGCAGTGATGGGAGAAAGTGTATGGGGCTTTTCAAATACACCATTGTTCACTGTGCACAGATCCACAAATATGTACTTGGCACTTAATGCAACAACTTGCATTCAGTGCCCTTCACACGCCTTAGCATCTTGGAAAGCTGAGCAACAGTTTAGTTTATAATATAATACAGTTTACCTTCTGATGTGCAGTGCCTTTCACATCAGTAGGATGTCCCAGAGCACTTACAACTTACACTCTACTCTCCAAGCTCCAGATTGTCATCTGCAGTCTGAAATTACAAGAAGCTCTTTTTTAAAAAAAAATCGAAACTGAGATTGAAAATTCCATAATTCCTCATGTTTTTAAACTTCAAGACAATGTCCTTCTGAGCAAAGACGCAGGAATTTCAGGCCTCTGAACTTATAAATGAGCGTTTGTCAATTTTATGTCTTAAAACATCATCTGAATTGTGTTTTCTAGCTGAGGCTCTTGGGATCGAGCCCTGCGCTGAAGATGAGCCAGTGTGATGCCTCTGATTCCGAAGTGTTCCTGCAGGACAACGGTGGTCTCACTCCTGAGGCAAATAAAGAAAATGTAAGTGTTATTTTTCCTTTCCCTTAATTTTAGCCTTAGCCCCTTGAACTAGGAGTGCCAACCTCTCATGATCTTGTGAAACTAGTCAAATGGTACACATCACTTCTTTACAGAAATCCTGCTTTCAATCTTAATTAAGGCATGTCATCTGAATGTTGTACATCCATTACCGGAGGGTCAAGAGTGCAGGTATTAACAGAGGAAGTGTTGCTTTTCTGTTTACCCTTGGTCTCCTAATGTGTTATCCCAAAGAGTAGATTTGCTGGGTGACTGGACCAAGGAATATTTTTGGGAAGGTGTTGCTCACAGAGTTTAGGTCTGTGTCACAGCCTTCCAAACTTTTAAGAGTTCAGGCAGCAAATAACGGTGACATTTTTAAACTATTGTGGCGGGTGTGTGCGCGTATGTTGCGAGTGTGTGCATGTGGCGAGGGTTATCAATCGCAGCTCAGCCTTGTCCTAGGTCTACATGTGTAATCTTTCCCTATTACTCAGCAGGCTGTGGCCTGCTCCACCATCAGCGGTTGGGTCTTCAGCCTTTCTGCCTCCACCCTCTGGAACTCCATCCCATATCCCCCTTGCCTCACTCTCTTATCTTGCCTACTTCAAGGCATGTCTGAAGATCCTCCTCTTCGACTTGGGTCTTCGGCCACCCTCCTTACCCTCCACCCTCCCTGATCCTGTACCCCCAGCTCATCAAGCACCTCCCAATGTGAAATGGGCTATACAAATGTAATTTTGTATTCTAAGGAGTCGTAGGGTAGTGATCAAACGGTGCAGTTAACTGAAGTGAAAAGTTTTTAAAAATTGTTCTTGTTTCAAGCTGAACAGGAAGTTCGATGATCAAGTTTCTTGAAATATTGGGACTGCCTGTTGCTTTTGTTTTGTAAACATAAACCTGTATCAGAGCTGATTTGTATCTCCTCTTTTACAGGAAGGTTTTCAGTTCAAGAAGCCAGTTCGGCCAATCTCAAGACATCGTCTGTGTACCTTCTATGGTGTGGAGAGATCTGATCACAGATCAAATTCTGCACCAGAGTTGATGGCAAGTTGCTTAAAGTCTCTCACATCCTTTCACTGAATGAACAATTCCAAATTGAAGTGTCAGCCTGGCTCAGCTGCTAGCTAACTCTCACCACCGATTCCAAAGATTGTGGGCATACGAAGGGACTCAACTCATTGTGCAGGCTGACAATCCAATGCAATGCTGAGGGGAGAGCTGTATTATTAGGGATGCTATTTTGTGAATCAGACATGAATCAGAGTTCCTGCATGCCTGTTCATGCAGATGTTGTGCCGTTCCTTGACTTAGGAACAAGAGGAAGCCATTCAGCTTTTCGAGCCTGCTCTGCCATTTAATTAGGTCATAGCTGATCTGTACCCAGCTAATCCTTTCAATTCCAATTTCCATCTTTCTCCCCATATCTCTTAATACTCTAACCTACCAAAAATCTATCAACCTCACTCTTGAAGGTGTGGATGGATCCAGCATCCACACCCTTTTGGGAGAGAATTCCAGATTTCTACCACCCTTTGAGTGGAAAAAATGCTTCCCGATTTCACTCTTAAATGGCCTTCACCCTCTCCGATCCCAACCCACAGCTCGGGTGCAAACCCCTCATTATCCAGGGCCTTAGGGCGTCCAAGGAGGATGACCTGACATGAAAGGCACTATATCAATTCAATTTGTTATTTGTTGTTGTAAAGCCCATAGCACGGTTTGAAAAGAAGGGAGTTTTGCCCTGGTATACTGACCAAAAATCCCCCAGATAAAATTGGTATTAATGACTGTTTTAGAGATTGCTGCCGATTGTATTGCCCACAAATCCAGGCATAAACATTTAAAGGAAATCAGTAAAGTTTTGCTTTTAATTCCCAGTTTTCACCGTGTTTGGACAAAGGTCCCACTGATTCTGATAGCCCTGTCCTGCGCCGCTCCTCACTGACCTCTTCCATCAATGACGACGATGATGATGGATTCCTGGAGCTGCTTGATGAGGATATTGAGGTAAGATATTCTCCAACAGACCTTCCTTTAATGTGGTTTGGACTGTGATGGAGACGGTTTTCTCACTGGAAGAAACTAATGCTGTTTACAAACAAATCATTAGTCAGTTCTCATTGGGGTGACTTGCACTACGCTCTTTGGATTCTTTCTCTGTGCAACTTTTTACACATCTCAAGTGCTTTACAGTAAACACTGAACAGTGACTTGCATTTGTATGCAGTCACAAAAGCCATTTTGTTAACAGCAAAACTACAGATGAGACGTGAAACTGAGGCCCTGTTTGTTTCAGATGGACATGAAAGATCCTACAGCACAATTTGTCCAAGAGATGAATGGCAGTTAATCTGACCGACTGCCAGCTAATGTACTGGGAGAAGCTACTTTCTAAACTAAATTTATTGTCTTTGACAGAACCGTACTGACTTGCCGTCTGGGATGGAAAGCTTGCTGACTGCTCCCCTCGTGACTAAAAAGTTCCCTGTGAAGGATGCATCAGCTGATAAGGTGAATATTGCGTTTTTAGCTATAAATTGAAACCTAATTGCACACTTTATTATCTTGTACAGAAACATTGGCTTGGAGTGAACTTTCTGGGTGTACAATCTTTGGTGGTCCATTGTAGGAAGGATGTACAAGCAATGAGGGTTGAGGATTTTGTGAGGGGCTGGAAACATTGTTTTTCTGCTGCAATTAAAAGCTATGTTTGAGTATTTTCTGATAAAGCTCTTCCCAACAATTTGTATGGCACCTTTTGTTCAAATAAACTTTCAAGAGCTGCAAGCATGAGGGGGAAATGGTTTGGTAGGAAATGATCAGTCATAGATTTTTACAAGGCTCTTGAAAGAACAGGTTTTGGAGATTTACTTTGAGCTGAAAGTGTGAAAGCTCGGCTGCCGATGGCTGGGGGCAGTGGATCAGTTTGTTTGAAGATTATGAAGGCTTACACTAGGGTACACCAGCATCTTGTGTTTATATAGCGCCCTTCATGCAGTGCTGCACTATGGTGGGGTTGGACACTAAGCAAGGGTAGGGGGAGAGATGACCATAGGTACAATTGAAGAGGTTTTGATGTGGGATTAGGATAGAGGTTCCGAGGCGGGGAATTCGAGTAAATGGTAATGGATTACATGCGTGGTCCATAGTGAGAGGGCACACATTTTAAAATCAGAAAATGTCTTACACAGAGGGTGGTTGGAATGTGGAATTCTCTGTTCTTGATGAAACAGTCTGATTTTCATTAAAAGCAGAATTGGATAGATGTTTGGAAAGAGGAATATTAAAGTGATGTGTGAGGTTAGATGGGTGGTTTATGTGGAGAAGTCTGTTTTTTGTGGTGGTTAACGTTTTATGAAACCTGCATTTTAAGGGTTCTCCCAATAAACTACCGTGTGGGCTGTTCCGGTCGCCTTCCTTGCCATGCTATGACATGAAGCCTATCCTGAAGCGGGTGGACAGGCCACAGGATGAGGAAACGCCAGTGAAGAATAAGCGGAGGAGAAGTCTGGCTGGAGCTGTGGTGGAAGAGAAGCCGGACGATGAGAAACCAGTGAGTGTACTACAGCAACAAATAATGATGATTTGGTCACTCAATCCATGACTGCTGTGCATAATTGGCTGCTGTGTTTCTCCCACAAAATATATAGTCAATTCATTTTTCTATCTATTCTGTGAAGCACTTTGAGTTTCAACAATTTGATATCAAATACAAGGATTATTCATACGTCAGGCACTGCAGTGCTACTTTGGGCTGGATCCAGTAATGGTTTAAGGCACCTAATTGACATTTAATTGCTTAAGTGGGATCAGCATACAACTGAAGCTTTTTAAATGAGAAATTAAAGCTATTCATCTCAAGCCACTTTACCAAAAAGTACAAGTTTAAAGGTCCAAAACATCAGAGTGGAGACCTAAATAGAGGTCATAATAATGTCACTATTTGAAAAGATAATGGAGTTTCTCTCTCCCGGTGTCCTGGCCAACAATCCCCCAAAATAGAGTTGGTCACTCATTCCATGGCTGCTGTGTGCAATAGGCTGCCACGTTTTGCTCATAAAATACAGTTCATTCACTTTACAGTATATTCTGTCTACTGTGTGATAAGTTGCTATATCAAATACAAGTATTATTATAAACTTTGTGGAGTTTAATTTATTATTTGCAAACCAGACTTGCAGTGTTGTTACTGTAGGATATTGATTGTGAGATTAGCAGCCGGCAAATTGTGAATTTCCAGACAGTGAGCGAGTCTGATCTTCCTCATCTTTGATTGTCCATTGGTCGAACTGGCGTTATATTAACAGTGGCGTGGGAAAACTCCGCTGACCCATGTGAGATGTAATTCATTGTGACGTCCCTTTGATTTTTCTCCATGGCTATACTGTTTGTACTTTGAGGTGCCAAACCAAAGGAAAACAAACTGTTTTCAAATGTCAAAGAAGCCCTTGTATTGATTATGCACAGGTGTATTTGACAAGAAATTGGTCACTCAATCCACAACCGTTTGTGGGACACTGCTGTGCGCAATTGGTTGCCATGTTTCGCTCATAATACAGTCAGTTCACTTTACAGTATATTCTGTGGAGTGCTTTGAGACGTCTCAACAACCTAATGAGACGCTATATCAAATACAAGGATTATTATTTCTGAAATTGTCAAAGCTCTCCATGCTAATGTTTCTCTCCGTTGACTGTGCAGAAGCAACGCTCTTTTATGAGGTCCAAGTCTTTCTGTGATACGACGATTGAGAAGGTGATGGAAATTGGTGACTGCAGGCACTTGATTGGCGATTTCACAAAGGTAAGTCCTGAATCGGAGGATAAGTCTGTGTTGATACAGACCTATTCTTGAGCAGCCCCAGTTTATGTATAGAATTTACTGTTTGGATTCTTCAAGCACTGTGTTTTTGATAAATTACTAACTGAATTCCTGAGAATTAGCTCCTGATTTAGAGGATCACAAAGCAAGTTGCTACCCTATACCTTAGTCTCCTTTCTCCGCCACCCGCCCCTTTTCCAAAAAATGTCTGTACCAAAACCTTACTATCTTACTTGAAAATGCCATGACTTGTGCTGGAACCTGGTTCTGCCTCAACAACAATTTGCATTTAAAAATAAATATATTTATGTTGCATTTAAATATATATATTTATATTGCATATATAATATTATCAGTGTTGGCTGAATGAATTGCCGTTCACAGGTGTCAATGGAACAAATGGCTGTTTACCTTTCCTACAAATGCACAGTGCCTGGAATTATCAGCCTCACTCCCACGCCACAGCTCTGCTTCACCACGTCTTGTGATTCTCCATTGTGCAAGACACGTTGAGCATGTTTCAACCCCCAAATATACTGTCAATTCACTTTACAGTATATTCTGTGACTTACTTTGAGACATCTCAATGACGTTACAAGGCACGATATCAAATGCAAGGATTATTATCAATCCTTAAATTGTATGAAATCTGGCTCCTTATATCAGAACCACTGTGGTAATAAAAATCTGGTATCTTGAACTTTCTTGCAGTCCTATATATTGCCCACTGTAGAAGGAAGACATCAAGACTTAAGATACATAACTCCAGAGATGGTAAGTGTTCACAAAGGGCTTTTTAAACTGGGTATTGTAGCAATTTCTGTTTCCTACTCTAAATGTGCTGGGTCATCTGCTTGGGGACATTCAACTGAACATTAGAAGTTAGAGATTAGCTTTAGAAATTTGCCTTTTTGAGTTGGTTGCCAATTTTTATATCTCTGGAGTCCTATAGTGTATTAGTTAGAGCACTCATCTCGCAAGCAAGAGGACCCGGGTTTGATTCCCAGCAGGGTGAAATCTTGGGCAAATTTCCTTACTCCACACACCTTTGTTTACCTAGCAGTAAGTAGGAAACCGGTTGTTAGTTAATTGGTGGATTGTTTTTCTGGTGGTAATAATACCTTCTAAATAAATAATGATAATTTGGTCACTCAATCATATGTGCGACACTGCTCTCCATAGCTGGCTGCTGTGTTTCGCCTGCTTGTGATGAGCAGCACAAAGCAATGATTTCAGTGCTGACCTGAAGACCACATGAGTTATAATTGGGTGGTCTTAGATTTAACACCTGTCCAACTAACCTGTCTCATTTCAGATGGCGCAGTTAGTGACTGGAAAATTCAGTGGATTTATTGAACGGTTCATGCTGATCGACTGCCGGTATCCATATGAATATGACGGGGGTCACATTAAAGTAAGCGGTTTGTTGTTAGGATCATCTTATGTGGTGACCTTTACTTTGCTAAAATAATCTAATCATTTACTAGATGAAGGTTTTGTTTCTTTTTCCTGTTCGGCAGTGGCTCTGCTGTTCAGTGTTTTTAACTGAACTGTATTAGAGAACCTGGATTGTGGGATTAAATGCTGTCTTGTACTCTGTTGTCGGTATAAAATCTTATTGAAAACTTATAAGATTGCACACATTTATTTCTGGCATTAACTGCAGTTACCCTCCTTGATGGGGAAGAGCGGGAGATTGCGCACTCCATACCAGACCAAATGGAAACCATACAGTTGGTTTTTCAGACCGCAGCATGGTGATGGGTTCCAGTGTCCAACATTCTGCTGACCAAACATACCAATGGTTCAGTCTAAGTTTTCTTTGTATGACCTGTGGTATATATCGAATCTGGCTTTGGGCAATAAATCATTCAAGTTATAGACATTAATACTAATAATTATTCATGTTGTAGTATTCTCTGCCAAACTATTGAAGCAGTTAATATGAAGAGAAATATTAGGACTGAATAGTGTGGTAGTAAAATTAGGTAGATGGCTTGGCAAGTTTCCTGTACCGACGGTCTGATTAACCAGTCTTGCTGAGTTGGTCATCAGGCTCTGTCACGGTTAAGTGCTCTGAGACACTGCCCTTTGAGAAGGGCGCTATATAAATGCAAGTTGTTGTTGGTGTTTCCTGCTCAGTCTTGGTGTGGTCTGACCTGTGAATGTCTGCTTGGGATGCGCGGGATCTGACCTGTGCATTTTCCCTCAGGATGCTCTAAACTTGCACATGGAGGAGGAGCTGGAGAACTACCTGCTGAAGACCCCCATTGTGCCTTTGGACCAAAGCAAAAGAGTGATCGTTATCTTCCATTGTGAATTTTCATCTGAAAGAGGCCCAAGAATGTAAGTGATTCTTGTGCATCGAGTGCTGTGCAGTATGTCTGCTCTTAAGTCAGGATCAAGGAAACAATTTCCAGAATTCTCACATGGTCACTTGTGAATCCCCATGTTTTCGTGTTTCACCCACAAAATGAGGAGTCCTATAGCTCAGTGGTTAGAGCACTCAACTCGCAAGCGAGAGACCTGGGTTCAATTCCCGACAGGATGAAACGTTGGGCAAGCTTCCTTACTCCACACACCTAGCAGTAGGAACCTGGTTGTTAGTCAACTGGTGGATCGCTTTTCCTGGGATAATAATTCCTTCAAAGAAAATAATAAATTAGTCACTCAATCCAGGGCTGTTTGTGGGACACTGCTGTGCGCAATTGGCTACTGCGTTTCACCCACAAAATATACAGTCAATTCATTTGATAATATATTCTGTGAAGCACTTTGAGATGTCTCGAAGATGTGACAAGGCGCTATGTCAAATGCAAGGATTATTATTTAAAATATACACTCAGTTTGCTTTACAGCATATTTTGTGAAACACTTTGAGACGTCTCAACAATGTGATAAGGCATATCAAACAAGTATTATCTACATGCTCCCTCTTGGCAACATCATCCACAGACACTGAGTTAACTATCACATGTGTTTGCACAAATCTACTCTACATCTACCCTTGATTCCAAGTCCACTGATCATCCTGACTGCCTACATCCCCAGATCTTCTGTTCAGCAAACCTAGACCTAAGTCTAGTGTGTGTTTACCTGCGCTGCCCCCCACACCCCCAACCATCCTTAGTGACCAAGCCTTCCCACAACTACACCCCAACTTCTGGTACTCCCTCTTGAAATTTCGTTAAGAACCTAGCTTTACTGCTGACTGCTGTCGCCTCTTTCCTCTATTGCTCCGTGTCCAATTCTGTGATGTTATTCTTTGTAAAGGGCAATAAGCAAACACTTTGTGGTGGTGGGTTCTTGTATAATGATAATCCTACCATTTGATGTAGCACCTTATCACGTCATTGAGACACCTCAAAGCCCTTCAGAAAATATGCTGTAAAGTGAGGGCGAAACAGGCAGCAAATTGTGCAGAGCAGTGGATTGTGGATTGAGTGACAACTATTATTATTTGTTGTTATTCTTGGTGATGGTACATAAGACTTTTGTTCATCTCAAGCTTATGCTGACTTTAAACAATGCTGGAAACTGCATCCTGCATTTAGTCAACCAACTCTTGCTGCTTCCAGGTGTCGTTTCCTAAGGGAGAAGGACCGGGACCTCAATGGCACTAACTACCCGAAGCTACACTACCCAGAGCTGTATATATTGAAAGGCGGCTACAGGGAATTCTTTCCAAATTTTAAGGTAAAGGTTACTTGCGTTCCCTCTCCAGTAGCGTAGGGCAGGATGGTCCAACTGGCGGCCCAAGGGCCGATTTCATCTGCACACCCCATCTCAATTTCATCTGGCCCACTGGCTCCCTCCATAACCTGGAAATGTTATGTTTCTGGAAGGAAAATACCAAAATATTTCTTTTGGGGCCCGCAGATATTTCTCAAATAGGGCATCTGGCCCTCAGTAGCCAAAAGGTTAGACCACCCTGGCTGTCATAGGGTATTGATGCTAATCAATGACAGGTCTGTTTTCAACCCTACCAATCTGGACAGCTTCATCTCCCCCACCCTATCTGCTCCACTATTGGTGGGCGGGCTTTCAGCTATTCTGCCCCTACTCTTTTGATGTAGAAATGAGAGGTCTTTTCGGCAGTCATGCCTGCTGGTGCTATCTCCACCACTGAGCATTCTACTCCAATCTCATTCTGTAGTTCTTTTTTTCTCATCTCCCCTCCCCTCAATACCTTTATTCATTTGTCCAAATTTCCATTTTAATAGCATTCAAAATTATGAGGGGTTTAAGTAAAATAAGAAGAAACTGTTTCCACTAGTGGAGGGGGGTTGGTAACCAAAGCACACTGATTTAAGGTAATTGGCAAAAGAACCAGAGGGAAAACCAGGCAAATTTGTTTTAATCATCTAGTTGTGACCTGGAATGCACTGCCTGAAAGTGATGGAAGCAGATTCAATAATAACTTTCAATGGGCATAGATAGGATATATACTTGAAAAGAAAAAAATTGCAGGGGCTATGGAGAAAGGGAGGCAGTGGGAATAGTTTGGTAGCTCCTTCGAAGAGGCCACACAAGCAAAATGGCCTCCTTCTGTGCTGTAAGATTCTATGATTCTATAAATGCTATTTATTAGCTTTGCATCAGCAGCTCTATCAACCTCCTGTTTATATAAAAAAAAGCCATTCTCTCTTCCTTCGACCTAGATACACTGTGAGCCCCAGAGTTATCGGCCAATGCATCACGAAGACTTCAAAGATGACCTGCGCCAATTCCGTGTGAAGAGCAGAACATGGGCGGGAGAACGGAGCAAGAGGGACATGTACAGCCGCCTCAAGAAACTATGAGGGTGGCAGTGTGTAACTGTTTGAGTGGTGGAACCTTTTCCCTGCCTTCTGGAATGCTGTACACTAAATCCCTTAGATCATTGCTTGCCGGTGGACACGGCTTTAAATTGGGGGTAAATGTGTGTAGGCATCGGCCAGTTCCTGCAACAAGGTGGTTGTATATTGTCTGTTGTCAGACCTGGTTGTGACTCGCACTCTTGGTAAGGTGGGCAGGGACCACAGATGACACTTTTTTTATGTACATATTTTTTTAAATCCCTGAACCTCCTAAGGAACAAATTTAAAACTAGTCCATATCTGTGCAAAACTGGGATTATCTCCTGCATAAAAAGGTTACGATACAATCAGATTTTTTTCCCCTGCCCCTCCCCCCCTCTACATGTAAACTTTCTATCAAGCTTATTGAAAGCTGTGATGCCTGTGTGAGTTGTGGCCTGTCTTGTCAGATGAGTGCTCTCTCAACAGATTGGCCCAATTGCATGAATAATGACTCAAGGAGCAAGAGGGTGAGATCAGCTTCCATCATGTGAGGCTGAGGTGTCAATAGATTTTATTTTGGGGAGTGTTGGACTTAATGTATATAAAACTTTTTAATTGACTTAATATAAATTCCAGTATCACTGCCGGTTTATTTCCCTTTTTGGTTCTGACGTAGATTAAAGGGGAATTTGTGTTACAAGCTAACAATTTCCTTTTTTTAAAAAAAATCTTAGATCTGAGATTAGGTAAAAGCTTCCTGGTTTGCGGCTCCGTTCTGCTCTTCCTCTGGGCTGGTTGCACTTACAAAAACCTGGTGTGCTTTTGGATTAGTATCCTGTAACCAGCCCAATCGAAAGCTGCCCCAAACTTTTTTTTAAAAAAAGTGTGATCGTTAAAAAAAGAAATTGGGATGGCTTTTTTTCTTTAGCCCCTTTTAAGCCATTTCCTTTAGCAGAAATTTCACAGCACTTAAAATGGATTCAGTCGAGAGTCAACTGGAGATGCAAAACTCTTATCTTGTTGACTGTCATGGTTTGAGTGCATTGTGCAAAGCCCAAAACATTTTTAGTGTAAACTTTCAGTATTTAAGCATGCAATTTAACAATGTTTTTGCTATTCGCCCCTTCTGTCAACCCCCCACAATGACTTTAACCACTAGTTATTTAAAATCAGGTGAATAAGTGCAGCAATGAAAGAATGTTTTTTTTAAAAGGGTAGCAGGGGAGTTGCATTTGTGAGTTTCCAGTTTAGAGACTAATTGAATAGGGAGTGAAACGTCCCATTATAAGTGCCCACTTTCACTGCTATCAAACTTACATTTTTTTTAACTTCACTATTCAGTGTTGAGGTTTTTGCCTTGCTCTGAAATGAGGCCCGATCATCATTTATGAATTCCATCATTTGTGCATGTGTCTTTATATACACATTTGTGTTTTTTATATATAAAAAAAATCACTTGTGTTTTTTTCTGTGCACACCAGAGAAATTGAGATCAGCTGTAAAGAATTTCCAAGACTAGTAACCTTTCCAATAACGTGAACTATATCTAACTCTGGGATTTTTCAAACAAGCATTCAAGTTGGGTGCAGTGTTTTTTCAGGACCTGCAAATATCACTCTTTCACATTCAAACCTGTAGGTTTCAACAGGTCTGGCCTTCAAAGTGTCTGATGTCCATTTTGTTTCCTTTTTCAACCACCCTATTACACATATGTACAACTAAAGGAGCCTGAATTGTTTTAAATAGGACCTACAATGTTGTACTTGCCATCTCTCCACATGTGTATGGGGGGAAATATTTGTACAGTCCCTCACTTTGATTTCTATTTATGGACCCAACCAAGTTAACTTATTGCTCTACTCTACCACACAGAGGTATGTGCATCTTCTCTCCTTGAGAATTCTGTGACATTGATTACCTTTTCCCAATGACTTGTGGGCAGGTCAGGTTTTTTTGAACTACTCTGGTCTCTTCACTGCCTAATTAAAAAGATCAAAGCATTTTTGTTTATACATGTACAACTTTTGGCAACCTTTGAGCTACTTGAATAGGTTTCAAATGTGAAAACTGACTTGGGTCTTCCCTGTGCCTTTTTTTGTGTGGAGGGAGGGTGACGGGTTTAACCATTGTGGAAGTAAATGTGATGCGAATGGCTGTGTGATTGGGGAGAGGGTGGGAGTTGGCTGGATGTGTTGCTTCCTGCAAAAGCTACTGCACATATGGTTTCATTGTATGCTGTACAGAGATTCACCTGCCAGTGGTAGCCTACCTGCCTCAAGTGCAATAAATGGCTACAGATAGCAAAAGTGTTGTGGACTTCTTAGTTTGTGTCTCGGCCTGGGTTAGAGTCGCCTCTGCATTCACTGCACTTCATTCCTGGTCATCTCTGCGCTCGCTACGCTGACTCAATGAAAGTTGCTGTGTGTAAATTGGCTGCTGTGTTTGCCTGCAAAATTAGTCACAGGACTTTACAGAACTTCCTTTCAAACACTGAGACTTCTTGACAACATAAGCTGCTATATCAAATGCAAGGATTATTAATGTTGATGGGAAATAACCACCCTTGGAATGTTGCAGCACAGAATATGCTCATCGGGTCCCATTGATTCCTGTAGTGCACGTTACCATGCTCTCCTCTCAAGCGAGAGGACCCAGATTCGATTCCCGGTTGGGACGAAACCTTAGGCAAATTTGTCACTCCATATGCCTATGTTTACTTTGCAGTAAGTGTGAACCTGATTATTAGCCAATTGGTAGATCACTTTCTGGGAGTAATCAATTCATGACTGGGACACTGGCTGCCATATTCCACCCACAGTCAATCCACTTTAAAACCTATTCTGTGAAGTGCTTTGAAATGTCTCAATAGTCCTTGCTTGTCATGTCGTCAAGACATCTCAAAGAGCTTCATGATTATAATTTTTATCAACTCAAGTGTTTTCTCCATGAGAGCCACCTCATTGCTTCCCACTCCATCTAGCTCCCTCTTACCTTTTATGTTTATAATTCTTATTGTATTCTTTCTCTTTCTCCCCCCCCCCCCCTTTCCCATCTTAGAAATACATGGAGACATTGGGCCCAACTTGACTGCTGATGTTTATTCTCCATGTGGCCTGATCCCTCCTCCTACTTCCCTACCTATATTCCTCTGCTCCCTTCTCTCATGTATATAAGTTTCCTCTAAATATATTAATACTTTGTACTTCAACCAATTTCTGCAGTGAGTTCCACATCCTTCACGCCCTCGGTAAAGAGTTTCCTCCTAAGCTCTTAGAATCTGCTACAGTAGTGTTTATTTGTCCTTTGTTTTGGACTGGGTGGGTACAGCTCACTTGGTGCCTTCCTGTTGGCTTTTTAGCAAAGTTTGCACTGTGAAATGAACTGAGTCATCACCGCCTTCAGTACTTTATTCACTTCACTAAAGAATGTTTTACTAACTACACTGGCACGAGGCCAGGTCATGAAAGTCTGAAGATGCTATAGAAATGTAGTTTGTGGTTGTCTGTTCAGGTGGACATCCCATCAGATAGAGGCAGTTTCTCCTGGGAGAAAGGAAAGTTGGTTGTTCACTTTGTGGCTGGTTGTGGGACATTGCTGTGTGCAAACCGGCTGTTGCGTTCACCAAAAAATACGCAGGTCACTATTTACAGTAAATGCTGGGAAGCTCTTTGAGATGTTCTAACAAGAAATATCACTGCTATAATCACTCTAAATGCAAGGGTTATTATTCTATAATGTTTGCCTTGTATGTCTACAAAAATACATCCTTGAACTCACGTAGTCTTAACTGATGCTCTAATGCAGTGCGGGGGTGGGGGTGTTGAATTGTTGGATGTACTGTCTTGGATGAGATGTTTAACTGAGGTCCATCTGCTTGTTCAGGTGGACGTTAAAGATCCCATAACACTATTCGTAAAGGGGAGTTTGTTTCTCCCAATGTACTGGCCAACAATCCCCCAAATAAAATTCTTCATTGGTTTCATGGTTGTTTATGGGACATTGATTGTGCGCAATTGTGCTAACGAGTTTGCCTACAAATACAAGTACCTCCATTTCACAGCATTTATATTTTTGTATATTTTATTTATGTTTAACTCACATGCCCACTGCATCCATGTCTGCAGTCTCTCTTCCCAACCATGTCTGCAGTCTGTCTATGATTACAGTGGTGAGACATCACCTTGTTGACGAGTATCAACAAGATAATAATAATCCCTCCAAAAAAAACCAAAAAACAATAATAAAAAAAAAATTGGGTCATTTTCAATCTACGACTGTTTGTGGGACATTGCTGTGCGCAATTGGCTGCCGCGTTCGCCCACAAATATACAGTCAATTCACTTTACAGTGTGTTCTGTGAAGCGCTTTGGGACGTCCTCCCGACGTGAAAAGCGCTATATCAAATGCAAGGATTATTATTATTATTATTATTATTATTTATATGTGGCGCCCCTCACGCAAGGTAACATCCCAGAGCGCTAGGATTTGGCAAGGATTATTATTATTACTTGACAGCAATTGCCTGGGAAACACTTTGAGATACTGTGACATTGAAACGTGCTTTCAGATGTTTTGATGTTGTGAAGCGCTGCATCAAACACGAGGATGGAGTGGAGTCCTGTAGGATAATAGAGCACTCGCCTCTCAAGCAAGAGGACCCGGATTCAATTCCTGGGTGAGAAATGTTAGGCAAGTTTCCTTACTCCACATGCCTGGTTACCTAGCAGTAAGGAGGAACCTGGCTGTTAGGCTATTAGCGGATCACTTGCCAAAGTTAATAATACCTTCAAAATAATAATGTGGTCACTCAATCCACAACTTTGTGGGACACTGCTATGCGGAATTGGCTGCCGTGGTTCGCCCACAAAATATAAGGAAAATTTACAGTAAATTTTGTGAAACGCTTTGAGATGGATTAGTTTATTATGATTACAGGACTTCCCCAAGCAAGCTGCATGCTGGTGGCAGTGAAATGTTACACGGTTAAAAATGTAGTGCGCACCTCTATTAATTTGTACCTGAAAATAACCGAGCCAAACTGCCACGCCTTGTTGACACAGTTTGCTGCCTTCATTCAAATTTGTGATAGCGCTGGGGTTCAGGAAGGTAGCAATGGGCGTGGTTACACCCACGCTAACGGCTAAATTCTCTAATCTGCTGTGTAACTAGGTGTCACCTAACCATATGATGTTACAAGCCATCCTACACCCTTCCGACCACAGGCACACCAAACATGCTGTCAGGCTCTTAATATAAGCTTTCAATGTTTCTTTAAACATCTGCCACATCCATTGGACACAAGCTGGTTAGACTCCAGCAGTTACCCCAGTGCACACTCGGGTCCCCAAACCTTGGCTCTTGCCAACCTGCAACCTAATGCTCTCTGGAATTAAGTAAACAGAATAGCTGCACAGTCCTTCAGATGAAAAAATAGATCTGTTCGGCTTGTTCATTGGGGATGTTAAAATTTGCCATGATACATTTTGAAAAAAAGGGAAAGGATTTTCTCCTGGTATCCTGACTGAAAATCATAATAATAATAATAATAATACTTGCATTTGATCCCTTCACTCCCTGGCACCTCCCTAGCTCTCTGACCTTCTCACTCCCCAATTCACCACTCTGCTAAACTGGCACTGGCCTCCTGCTTGTACCTCGCACGCTCCACCGTCGGAGGTCGGGCTTTCAGCCACCACGCCCCAAAACTTTGGAATACTCTCCTTCAATCCCTCTTCCTTGCCCTCTCTCCCCTTTTTCAAGTCCTGTCTGAAAACCTTCCTTTTCAACCGTGCTTACGGCCACCTTCCCACACCCCTGGCTCGGAATCAACATTAATCTTGGTTTAAAATCTTATCTGACGGCACCTCCAACCATACAATGTTCCCCAGTTTGGAGCATCAGCCTAGACTAATGTGGCCAGCAGACGGTCCGCACCCAGCCCGGCGGGTGATTCTATTCGGCCCGAGACCATTTCAATAATCTACACTGCGCACGCGTAACTCAATGCAGCCGGTAAGTGCGAATGTGGTACTGAATCGTGGGAAATATAGTCTTGACCCATCACCGCATGCGCACTTACCGGCAAGCGTTGGAATAACATTGAATCGCGGGAAATTAAGTCCTTCTGCACATGGGTCAACAGATTCGGACGTCATTTGCCGCGATTCAATGCAGCCTGTAAGCGTAGGAGTAATGGAGGATAGGGGAGCGGCGTTACGAGTTAGAGGTTGATAAATAAGGAGTGCAAAAAAAACAAAGTAGTTTTATAGCAGACTGAAAGTGCCTCAAGTGCACGTACGACTTGGGCGATTATACAATTTATAAAGATAAGACTCATATGAGTTTTCCTGTAATAAAAAAAATCCATAATTTGATATAATGCCTTTCAGTCAGGCTGACTCAGAGGAGAAAAGAGGTCGAATCAATCCCCCGTAGTCCGGTTCCTGAGCCAGGAATGTCTGCAAGACCCACCCAGCCACGTCTACTCCACCTCTCCAACCTCCAACAATCATACTGATCCCTCCGCTCCTTTCACTCCACTATCCTGGCCAACAATCTCCCCCTCCAATAAAATCATTGTAATTGAAGGTGGGAGAGGATACTGAGGAGGATATGTCAATCAGGTTCAATGGTAGCACACTTGAGTCAGAAGGTTGTGGGTTCAAGCCCCAATTCGGGCTCCAGTGCTGGGACTTTGCTGTGCGCAATTGTGCTGCTGCGTTTCCTCACAAAATAGTCACTCCATTTCACAGTAAATCCTGTGCAGCACTTTGAGATGTCTTTTTGACTTGATAAGGTGCGAGATTAAATGCAAGGATTATTATTATAGTGCCGCGGGTCTTTAACATTCACCTGAACAGGCGAACAGGACCTCGGTTTAACATCTCATCTGAAAGACTACACTTTCAACAACGGTGCACACCCCCAGCACTGCTTTAGAATGGCAGGTGAACACGGCGGCCAATTTTGCACACAGCAATGGCCCACAAACGGCCTTTAAACGAACAATCAGTTTTATCTGGGGAATTGTTGGCCAGGACACCAAGAGAAAGAAACTCCCTTCTCTTTTGTATCTTTAAATCTCACCTTAAGAATGACCTCTTTGAGGCGCTTATGGTTACCTTCCCTCCCCCCTCTCTCTCTCCCTCAGCATCCAAACCCACTACAGTACAGAGCTCCGAGACGCTATCCTGCACGAAGGGTTTTTGTATAAATGCAAGTTGTTAGTATCATTCACTATATGGCCGTTTTTAACAGCTGCTGTGTGCAAATAGACTGCACATGTTCACCTGCAAATACACAGTCACTATACTTGACTAATTGCTTTGACATGTTTGCTTAAGGTGATACAAAAATGCAAGTTTCCTTCCTCACTGCAGTGACATTGGAGGATGTTAATTTGATTCCATCTAGTGGAGGCTGAACAAAGTGCAACTCTTTAACCCAGATGTCTTTACAGCTCGAGTTTAAAAACCGCCGACAGTAGAGCAGACCGGACGGGGGACGTGAAGTAGACAAGTGCCTGCAGAGTGGAGAGGTTGGTAAATTTGTATTAGATCGTAGAGGTACGGAGGAGCAAGACCTCAGAGGGCTTTAAAGGTGAGGACAAGGATCTTGAACTTGGTTCTCTGGAGGATGGGAATGCAGAAGACCTTTAACCCATTTTTCTTAAATCTCATCCTCCCGGAACACCCATACTACAAGCCTCCAATCACAGCTTTACTTGGGCGATTATACAATCCACATAGCTTGCCATTGAGAACACTGCCGGGCGAGCTTTCCCGCTGGTTGTCCATCCAGGACCTTACTACTCTAACCATTAGGACTTTAGTTTGCAGGGTTAACAGGAGCTGAGTGGAATGACTTACTGTCCCCAGTGACTGTTCTGCCCTTCCAAGTCCTGCCGATGAGCCAGGCTGGGCTGTGGAGTCCTGTAGCTCAGTGGTTAGAGCACTCACTTTGCAAGTGAGAGACCTGAGTTCAATTCCAGGCAGAGGGCGAAACCGTGGGCAAGTTTCCTTACTCCACACAGAGCCTAATAATAAACCCTCCAAAACCAAAAACAATAATAAATTGGTCATTTTCAATCTATGACTGTTTGTGGGACATTGCTGTGCGCAATTGGCTGCCGCGTTCGCCCACAAATATACAGTCAATTCACTTTACAGTGTGTTCTGTGAAGCGCTTTGGGACGTCCTCCCGACGTGAAAAGCGCTATATCAAATGCAAGGATAATGCAAGGATAATGTGGTGTCATCAGCAGTGCCTTGGAATACTGCGGAGCCACCTGGCTCAGGAACTGGACTAGAGTGCCTTCATGGTACTTCCTTGAATGGTTCAGATCCTACCTCTTACATCGTCTCCACTTCATCTCCACAAATGGTTTCGTTTTCAGCCCCCACACCATCTCGTGCAGTGTTCCTCGGGGCTCTGTCCTTGGTCCCCTCCTCTTCAATATCTACATACTCCCTCTTGGTAACATCATCCGCAGACATGGGGTCAACTTCCACATATATGCAGATGACACCCAACTCTATCTCTCTGCCTCCCCCCTTGACTCCAGGACCACTGCTGTCCTGACAGAATGTCTGTCAGACATCAAGTCCTGGATGAGAGCGAACTTTCTTCAGTTGAACGTCAACAAGACTGAGGCTCTCCTAATTGGCTCCCGTCAGCGCCTCCTCACCTCGGGCGCTGACAGCATCACCATCCATGGTTGCACACTCCACCTCACTGAGCCAGTCCAGAATCTTGGTGTCTTGTTTGTCCCTCAACTATCCTTTCTACCCCACATCCATGCCATGACTCCCTCTGCCTTCCCCCACCATTGCAACATCGACTGCCTCTGGCACTGTCTCACACCGCAGGCCACCGAAACCCTCATACATACATTCATAACATCCAGGCTCGACTATGTAAACTCACTGCTTGTCGGCCTCCCCAACTTCTCCCTCCATAAGCTGCAGATCATCCAGAACTCTGCAGCCCGTGTCCTCTCCCGCACTAGGCTCCGTGACCCTATCAACCCCATCCTCGCCCAACTCCACTGGCTTCCCATCAAGATCCTGGTCCTCATCTTCAAAGCCCTCCATGGTCTTGCTCCCCCCTACCTCTCCGACCTCCTATCATCCTGTTCGCTCCCTCCGCTCAGCGGGCTCCGCCTGCGTCACGTCCCCCGCCTCGCCCACCCAACTATCGGCCGGGGGGCCTTCCGCCACTGTGCCCCCACCCTCTGGAACTGCACCCCGCAGTCCCTCCCCCTCGCCCCCTCCCTCGCCACCTTCAAGACCCATCTCAAGACCCTCCTCTTCGACCGCGCTTTCGATCTCCCTGCTCCCCCCCGCCCTCCCCCACCCCAACCGCAACCCCCAGCTCGGGTCAGTGATGTCTGTCCAGCGCCTCGGGACGTCCTCCTGACGTGAGAGGCGCTTTACAAATGCAATGTTCTCTTTACAAATGCTCCCTTCTCTTTGACCGAGCCTTCAGCTCCCCTCTCGACTCTCTACCCCCTCCTCGCTCCCTCCCTTCCCTCCCCTCACCCTGACCATTTCCCCCCTCCTCGCTCCCTCCCTTCCCTCCCCTCACCCTGACCATTTCCCCCCTCCTCGCCCCCTCCCTTCCCCCCCTCACCCTGACCATTTCCCCCCTCCTCGGGTCATGACCCAACTGTGCAGCGCCTTGGGACGTCCTCCTGACGTGAAAAGCGCTTTATAAATGGAATCTTGTTGTTGTTGTTGTTGATACTCCATTGGCAAACACGTCACCTTTTGGAGTCTGTTGAGCTCCAAGAAGACTCTGCTCTGCTCTCCCCCACACAGACACCACGTCACCACACCACAGGCAGCAGTCAGAGGCCTCACAGGTTGAAAGAGCCATTGCTTTGGGTTTGATGTGGTGCCAACCAGAGGATTCTGGGCCTTGTCGTTACTACATCTCCCAGGGTGCACCCCGGCGGCGCTCAGATCTCTGGGTAATAGACGGGAAGCGGAGGGACTACATCACCCAGCATGCAGCGCGGGCTGGCGGCAGTTGGCGGAGAGAGGCCGCCGCCATGGTTCACGGGTTCCTGGTGCTCGCGCTGAGCTCAGCGGAGGAGAGCAACTGCCGCCTCCTCTACTCCCGGCAGTTCGGCTCCGATGAGGTGGGCAGAGGTGAGGACCCGGCGGCGGGGGAGGAGGAGGGAGACCTGCGGGCGCGGAGGCTGGTGAGGAAGGAGCGTCTGGCGGCGGTGAGCAGGTGAGACCCCCCCGGGTACCCCCTCCCCCCCCGTGTACCCCCCTCCCCCCCGTGTACCCCCCTCCCCCCGTGTACCCCCCTCCCCCCCGTGTACCCCCTCCCCCCCCCCCGTGTACCCCCCTCCCCCCCCCCGTGTACCCCCCTCCCCCCCCCCGTGTACCCCCCTCCCCCCGTGTACCCCCCTCCCCCCCCGTGTACCCCCCTCCCCCCCGTGTACCCCCTCCCCCCGTGTACCCCCTCCCCCCCCGTGTACCCCCCTCCCTACCGTGTGCCCCCCTCCCCCCGTGTACCCCCTCCCTACCGTGTGCCCCCCTCCCCCACCGTGTGCCCCCCTCCCCCCCGTGTACCCCACTCCCCTACCGTGTACCCCCTCCCCCCCGTGTACCCCCCTCCCCTACCGTGTACCCCCTCCCCCCGATGTACCCCCCTCCTCTCCCCGTGTACCCCCTTCCCCCCTCCCTGCCCCCCCACCGCCCCCGTAACAAAATTGTCATACTTGACAGAATATAATTCTCATCGAGTGAGACGGCTAATCTGCAGGGTTTTGATCTCCAGGCAAGTGAAGTCACTGTGCGCGATGGCACGTCAGGCTTCAGAGAAACCGATCCCTGACTTTGGGTCTGTGATCGGAGAGGAGTCCATTGCTGTGCAGGAAGCGGAGTTCGGAGTGTTCCGCCTTCCCGCTGGAGACCCCTTTGTGGAGGAGAAGACAGTGCTGTGGATGGGAGTGCTTTCTCTCGGCTTTGCACTGATCTGCGAAGCTCACGAGAACTTAATGCTGGCGGAGAATACGCTCAAATTGATAGTGAAGAACTTAATGGAGTGTTTAAAGCTGTTGATTCATGGCAATGACATTTTACTAAAGACGGACAAGATTGAGATGGTTCTGAATACATTCCTGCCACACGGACAACTGATGTTTATCAACTGTTGTTTCATTCAAAGCCTGGACAAGGAGCTGAGTACTTGTATGTCAAAGTGAGTCGCTCTCTGGAATATTCTTCACTTTTCTGGGGCATTTCATAAGCTAATTGCTGGAAACCAGAGGAATTAAAATAACATGCATTCTGGCTACAAGGATTTTAGCATTAATATAGTGGTGCTGCAGCATTGGGAATGCAGGTTTAATTGCCTGCATATCACTCAGTTCTTTTCAGTGATTCATCACTGAATGGCCACATACATCCCCACAGGGTGAGGGGAGGAAAGACGAGGAAGGATGAGGGGGAGGGGGGGCAATTGAAAGTGGAGCTATCTATGATTTACTTTTGCACTGTGATATAAAGCCATCTACGAGCAGTCATTGCATTGGTTCCTAGATGAATGGTATCTGGGGAGGTGAAAGAAAATGCATTGTTGCTGTTTACATTTTTCAGATCCTAAAAGATCCTTTCAAATGTTGAATAAAAATAGTAAAATGTTTCTATCTTATGAAGTCCTTAACCCGTGGAATCATTTTGGGTCCTCAATATTATACATTTCCTTTTAATTTAAATTCACATTCTTCTTGTCAAAATCCATCTTGTGACACCTTGGGTAATTGAACTTCTCAGAGCTCCATGTGCAGGTTGCTTAATCCTGTTTTAACACCCACTATCTATACACACACACTCGCAAATGCACATACAGAGCTCTCAACAGCAGCGACTTTATACGGGGTGACCAAAAAGTCTTATTTTTCAGCTACCCTATTAGCGAAACAAAAACATCTTTTCTTTAAGACTTATTAGACACTGTAATGGTATCACGACTTTTTGGTCCCCCTATAGTATTCAAAGGTGGAAACTCTGGCTGATTAATTGCCACCCAGACACAGAGCCCAACTAACTGTTAGCATTCCCACTGCTGTCCCAAATAAGATTATCTAACTCCTCGCAGTTGGAACCCAAAATTGGGGTTTTAGTCACTGGAGTTGAAGAGATTAAGAAGCGACCTCTTTGGTTTGAGTGTTCAAGAGATGAACGGTTATGATGAAGGTAGAATCATAGAATTATACAGCACTCCTTCTGTGCTCTATAATTGTTTGTTTCTACCTTCAATCATAACCCTTCATCTCTTGAACACTCAATTATCAAGGTGTCACAAGATTCAGCCCATCGTGTATGTGCCGGCTCTTTGAAAAGAGCTATCCAAATCAATCCCACTCCCCCGCTCTCTCCCCGTACCTGCAAACTTGTCCTCCCCAAATAATTATCTACTCTCTCAAAAGTTGTTATCAAATCCGCTTCCACCACCCTTTCAGGCAATGCATTCCAGATCCGAACAACTCATGTGAAAAAATGTCTCCTCCACTCTGTTTCTTTTAAAAACGACAAAATTACATTTGTAAAGCGTGCCTCGCTTCACTAGCTCCCTATCCCTCCAGAGAATTGACTACAGGATCCTCGTCTTCACTTTCAAAGCTCGCCACAGTCTTGCTCTTCCCTACCTCTCATCTGCTAGAACTTTACCAACATGTCTGCTCCCTCTGCTCGGTGGGCACTAGCCTGCTCCATGTCCCCTGCCTGCTCCACTGTCAGTTGTTGGGCTTTCTGCCCTCACCCTCTGGAATGGGCAGGGAAATGGATTGCTTGTATGAGCCGGCCCAGCACGATGGGCTGAATGGCCTTCTGTCCTGTGAATTTCTGTGGTTCTGTGGAGGGTTGCTGACATGAAAGTGTGAAATTGGGAGCAAGCGTTTGGCAGAAACCACACCAAGGATACTATTAAGATATTTTATTAGCAATTCTAAAACCGCACAAGCATAAGCATCACATTACACCCGATGTAATATTATTACTCGTCGCGCTTAAATGACTACTAAAGCACTATCTTAACAAGATACACTCAATACTAAAATTCTAAACATATAAAAAAATGATGTGATATATGAAATGTGCCTAAATAATCTCTAACTGTTTTGTATGTATGTTGGGTGCGTGTTTTAGTAACTAGGAGAGATACTACCAAGCAGGCAGGAAATCGTGACGAAGTTCTAAAGGCTGGCACAAAAGTTAAACACTGTCTGGCTTGCTGCTGGCTGCAAATGTCTCTGGCTTACTTCTAACTGCAAAGGTCTTTTGGTGGTCCACTCCGGCAAGGGCTGAACTCGTCCTCTTTGCGGTCCACTCCGGCGAGAGCTGGACTTGTCCTCTTTCCCTCAAAGGCGCTCTTCTTCCTCTCCATAGAGGTTCTTCCTCTTCCTCTCCTCAGAGGCTCGAATAACGTCTGAGTTTTGGCTACCGATTTTATACTCTTGTTCATCAGCCATCTGTGTTCTAACATTTTTCCCCATGACTTCTTTCCTACTCTCTGCACTTTTCCCAGGCATTCTTTCCCTATCTTCAAGTTGTTCCTCCTTGTACCAGCTAATGGTATCTTCTGCAAAGGAACGATACTCCTCCTATTCCATCTTATCTAGCCTGACCTGACTCCATGTCCCTGAAGTTTCAGTCCTTCTTTCTAACTCTGTCCATGTGACCTGCTCACTTTAAGCTTTTTCTGAGTTTTAATCTGCTAGTTGGCCTCCCATCCATTCTCCTGGTCCAGTTATCCCAAGTTCCTATCTCTCCTGCCCGTAGGCCACATGCCCTCCCTTGATGCATCGCAGCTATCAAGCTACCGGCCCATCTCTCCTTCCTGTCCAAGGTCCTTGAAAGAGTTGTCACCTCCCAGCTGCGCTCGTTCCTCTCCACCCATGCATTATTCGAACCCCTTCAGTCGGGTTTCCGTGCTGCCCATGGCACAGAAAACGCCCTGGTCAAGGTCACCAATGACATCTTGATCATCTGCGACCAGGGCTCCCTCTGTCTCCTCGTTTTCCTCGACCTATCGGCAGCATTCGATACGGTCGACCACGCTATCCTACTCCACCGCTTGTCCTCCCACCTCAACCTTCAAGGCCCTGTCCTTGAGTGGTTTAGGCCGTACCTCTCCCACCGTCTTCATTTTGTTTCCACAAACGGCTTTTCCTCCGGCCCCCGCACTGTCTCGTGCAGTGTCCCTCAGGGCTCTGTCCTCGGTCCCCTCCTCTTCACCCTCTATATGCTCCCCCTGTGGTGACATCATCCGCAGACATGGAGTTAACTTCCACACGTATGCGGATGATACCCAACTCTACCTTTCCTCCTCTACCCTCAACTCCACGACCACCGATGTCCTGACAGTCTGCCTGTCCGACATCGAGTCCTGGACGAGAGACAACTTTCTTCAGCTCAACGTGCGAAAAACCGAGGCCCTCCTGATTGGCTCACGTCAGCGCCTCCGCACCTCAGGCGCTGACAGCATCAGCATCCAAGGCTGCACTCTCCACCTCTCAAAGCCGGTCAGGAACCTCGGGGTTCTTTTTGACCCTGAGCTGTCCTTTCTCCCTCATATCCGCGCCACAACTGGCACCGCCTTTCATCACCTCCATCCCCCAGTGCCTTCGCCTTGCTTCCTCCCTTTCCTCCTTCAAGACCTTTCTCTTCGACTGTGCCTTCAGCTCCCCTCTCGACTCTCTACCCCCTCCTCGCTCCTTCCCTCCCCTCACCCTGACCATTTCCCCCCTGTTCGGGTCCTGACCTAACTGTCCAGCGCCTTGGGACGTCCTCCCGACGTGAAAGGCGCTCTATGAATGGAATCTTGTTGTTGTAAGCGCAGATGGCCTACCATCCATCCCCCTGATCCAGCTATCCTTATCTTCCCTGGCCATGGGTCGCATTCCAGTGTACTCCTCCTAGCTTGGTGCCTCTTCACTAGGACTGTGTGTGTGTGTGTGTGTATGCCACATGGCAGTTTTTATTTCTTTAATTCATTCTACTTAATTCATCTATTCACTACATGATCAACACTGATGATTCTTATACTATAATCCCACAGTCCCCACCTTGAAAGTGAAGGAACAGTAAGTTTTCTGATCTCTCAAAAAAAAACTTTGGTTACTAACACACATAAAAAAAATTGGATAGTAATATATACAAAAATTGGTTAGTAACACACATCCTGCTTTATCATGGATCATCCTCTTCTAATAAGCGAGACCATGTGGGATTGCTATTGTAGACCATGAACAAGAGAGCGAGCCCATCTTATTGCAATTATCAATGCAACGAGTATTACGATTTGAACAATAATGAACTATTGTGATAAAAGCCACAATACAGGGTGCTGTCCAACATTATAAACTGCCACCATCTGGCTGTTCCGTGATGGTTCCTGAAAGAACAAGTATAATATGTTATTACACAGTTTTCAACTGATTGATGTGATGTCAACGGGCATATTTCTTGGTTTTGTTATGGTATTGTAGTAGGTAAACTGAGGGGCTGGCTTTATCAATGATGGGAAAAGGGCCTTTGTGCTTGGAACTGAATGGGTGATCCCTTTTCCCATAATCAAGTACCACTACTGAATCACCAACCTGGTACTCTACTGGTTTAATTTTTTTGTCAAAGCATCGTTTCAGGTCTGATTTCCCCCTCCACCACTCCTGAAGACTGGGGGTGGTGTGAGATGTGCAATTTTGTGTGATTCCCAACATGATTTGCATTTCCGAGAAAATTTTACCTGTAAAGTGCGACCCTTGGTCTGCGTCCACTTGTACAGGTATTCCCCACCTGCAGATCGCTTCGCGCAAGAGGAGTTGTGCTGCTGTTATCACAGTATTAATCCTAGTGGTAAAAGCCTCGATCCATTTTGTAAATTTGTCTAGTATTACAAGACAGTGCTTAAAACCCCCTTTTGCCGCTGATAATGGCCCAATTAAATCAATCTGCACATGGGTCCATGGACCAAGGGGTGGGGGTGCCGATTTAAGGAGCGCTCGCTGTCCTTGAGGAGGGGGATTATGCTGCAAACATACCAAACACCGGTGGGTGCCCAGTCAGCCACCCAGAGGAGGAGAGGGCTTGCCTTCTTTGTGCCATTGTAACACATCAACATACGGTTGGTATGTTGTCTGTAAAGTTTGAATGTCCAAAGCAGAAGGAGCTGAGCAATAATTTCTACGGCATATGCAGTGAATGTAGCATCACCTTCTGGAGACCGGTCACAAGGGTAAAATGTGTGATGGCCCAGGATGTGGCCAGCAGGTGTCGATCGCACATGTCAAAGTTTTTCTCAACCCCTGTCAGGATGTGGGAGGCAAATGCAATCGGATTCATTTTGCCGTGGTAGTCATGGCATAGTACTGCCGTTAAGCTCTGGTCGGTCGCAGCTACCTTCAGGTGAAAAGGCTCCTGCGGAACCAGAGAAATCAAAGCTGTGGCTTGTATGACTCCTTGTTTTAAAGCAGTCGCAGTGTGAGCATCAGTCCAAAGTTCTACCACGGAGTCCTCTTGTCCTTCCAACAATTCGTACAGCGGTTTGGTGAGCTCGGCAAAGGAGGGAATGAGCGACCTTTGATATCCCACCAGACCCAAGAATGATGGCAGGGCTGTTTTTGTTTTAGGGAGCGGCAGCCGGGATAATAT